AGTGCACCATTTTGAGGTAAATGCAACATTGGCAGAATTAAGATCACGTTTTTGGGTAAGCCAGGGTAGACAGTTATAAGAAACTGCACGATATGTAAGAAGCTAGAGGGATTATTCACAACCACTAGCACCATTCCCTGAGTTTAGAGCCCGGGGGGGGGGGCACTTAGTATATTTTGCTGACGGGATGTGCACGTCTTTCCGGGTATCATTTTCAGTGGCGCAGAGAGGGGGGGCAGGGGGGGCAATTTGCCCCAGGGCCTTGGCATAAAAGGGGCCACCAAATTATTCTGAAAATTTTTTTAAAATGTCTTCTTTTGAGAAACTGAAAATGCATTTAAAGATCAATTTGCAACTGAAAAAGCAAACGTGCGCAAACGTTTGGAAATAATGGGCGTTTCCCATTTTATAAAGGGCGTGGTCTCGAAAATTTTTTGTATCCGACTCTAGGGCCCCAACCGGGACTTTGCCCCAGGGCCCAGGCCGTCTCTCGGCGGCCCTGATCATTTTCAGCAATTTATTCTAAGGCCGGGTATCTGTTCAAAGGATATAATCTAAAGCCGGTTGCCTGATTTTCGCTGCCCGCCCATTGTTTTTGTGGTGTTCTGGCAACCATGGCAACTGGCACCAAAGCTTTTGTTCTTTTTTCCAGAAATTCTAAAGCCGGGTGTCATTTTTAGCTTTTTTTTCTGAAGCCGGTTCACCGAAACAATCTTAGGAGTGCACACCCCCGTCGTTTTGGTATCCAAGTACCCCCCCCCCCCGGGGTTTAGAGTTACTGAAGCACCACCCTTCAGCAAGGTAGGTGTGGATTTTGCTGGTCCATTATTCGTCAAGGCGGAAAATGGCGAATCAAAAAAATCATACATTGCTCTTTTTACTTGTTGTGTGACCAGGGCAGTTCATCTTGAGCTTGTTGAAAATTTAAATATATCGACATTTGTTAATTGTTTTAGGCGTTTCTCTGCTAGAATAGGCACGCCTACCTTTATGGTCTCAGATAATGCAAAGACATTTAAGGCCACAACAAAACTATTGAAGAAGCTCTATATTGTTATGGAAGTAAAAAACTACTTGTCCTCTAAAAGAATTATCTGGCAATTCAACTTAGAAAGAGCAGCTTGGTTTGGAGGGTTTTTTGAGCAAATGGTTGGTCTAGTAAAACGGGGTCTTAGAAAGTTATTAGCCAATTCAAGACTTACCTTTGATGAATTGTCAACAATACTGCTAGAAATTGAATGCACCATTAATTCAAGGCCTATTACATATCAAGATGAAAACCCCAGTCAAGAAGAGAATACCTGACAAGCTTAAGAGAGTTTCACATGCTGAAGTACCCAAAAGAACAACAGATAGCAAATGGTGATATAGTGTTGATTCACGAGGATAATGTAAGAAAAGGACTTTGGAAGATGGGTGTGGTTTAGTCATTAATTTATGGAAAGGATGGTTTGGTAAGAGGTGCATGTATTCGTAAAGCCAGTGGTAAGAGAGAAACTTTAAATCGTCCAATTTCAAAACTTTACCCTTTAGAAATTACTTGTAGAGACAATGAGAAAAAAGAGGGTACAGACACAGGTTTACCAGAACAGAATGGAGTTGGTATAGAGCAAAATGAGAATGGAGAGAAAATCCGCGAGGAAGGCAAGAGGGGGGCAGGGAACCGACCCATTAGAGTAGCAGCTAAGGACGCGCGCTGGAAACGTGGTTACTATAACAGGAAATGAATAGAAACGAGTCGTTTCTACTTGTTTCTACTTGTTTCTACTTGTTTGCTAGTCGTTTCAACAAGTAGAAACAAGCAGAAACAACTATCTGACGGCGAGTACTTAAGGGAGGGGAGTCTAATTAATTTGCTTCTGCTTCTTTACAACTTGTTTAAAAAGGTGCAAAAATTATTGTCTCATGATACCCTTTTCGGAAACTGCCCTGGGGGAATGGGTGTTAATCTATGTTCGAGATTATAAAAAACAAGCAATTTGATTGTTTGGCCGCAAACTAGAAGAAATCCTTACAATTAAAAAAACTACCTAATTTTCTTGATTCAATCCCGCAGGTTTTCCCTACAAACTTCTGAAAATCCCTAAAGTAGGTAGAAATCTCTACGTGTGGCAACACTAAATTGACCATGCTCAGCTTCTTGTTGTTTCCTGTTGTTTCCTGTTATAGTAAACACGCGCTGGAAATCCCTCCTTATGCTTGATACCTAGGTAATCATGTTACAGGTTAATCAAGGAGGGGAGGGGGGGTATGTTGGGGATTTCCAATTTCCTGCCATGCCTAACAGTTTATTTTATGGATTTAAGGGCTTATGTTAATCACGTATGAGTTACTGTTTTGGTATTTTGTTTTCGTTGTTTTAGCTGCTATTGACGCAAATGCCTCAATTTGGTAATGAGGCGCATTAGCTGACTATATACATTTATAGTTGTAGTTTTATCATTGGTTAACGTATATAATGTTCTAGTATTTAATTGGTTCTTTTTTAGAAGGCACATGGTATGATGTAAAAGGAATGTGATGCCAGACTGTAGGCAGATTGAGTAGAAACGAGCTTGAAGTAGAGATGTAACAAAATGAATGAAATCAAGGGCAGCTAACTGAAATCAGAGGTTTTTCTTCGTCTACTTCTAGGAATGTCTATTGGATAGAAGATAAGAAATTTAGTAGGTTTCTTAACAGCATCTAATGTGTCTCGCTCTAGCTATCGTGCTATTATGTGAGTGGGGAAATTGAGGAAGAGGAAGAACTTTTGTTGACAGGACAATAGGTAATCAACTCACGTGTGGTATTTTTACTCTAAAGAACATTACCCTGGGTACCAGACTCACTCTATATAGAATAAGAAAGTACTATTATACTCTTATTTTATGTAAAGTGAGTCTAGTACCCAGTATGGTACTGCATTTGCCGCCAAACTTAATGATTGTAGAATTTCATCAAAGTTGTGGTTTTTTATCGAATGCTCCCTGCGTAAGGATTTAAGCAAGTGGTTACACGCAAATATAATTTATGCAATGATTTAATTACGGCGCACATGGGGGTACGCTTCATGATTCTAATATTTATGATTGAAAACGGGCTACAACTTTTAAAGTTTTGAAAGATCAGAATTACCAGATAAAGACTGGTTGTGTTCCCCGTTTTCTGACCACGCCCATTTTAAACCCAATCAAATGAGGAAGGTTTTAAAGTAAGATCTTCTTGGCCGGTGGAAGGTTGACACGAGGGGCAAATCACTTCAAGAAAATATCGTACACCTTTTGTGAAATTATTACCACAGGGATACCGACTGAAAAGTTATTGAAGGTTGGCAGGAACGGTTTGTCTCTTTGCGTAAAGAAACCATATGGCAATTCACGCTCTTATCCTAACCTTTAAAAACGTAGAAAGTCAATTTTAAAACAAGAACATAATAGCAAAACACCGAGCCTGGCAAACATTTCTGGTTCTTAATAAAAAGATGTGTATTCTCTGTTCCGGGGGTTATTTCATCGATTTGCATCTCGCAATTTTCAGATCTTGAAAATGGACTTCAGATTTGAAATCGTGATCTTGAAAGTAGCATAAAGTATACATGGAGTGCTGCTCGGTTGCAAGTGACTTGAGAAATATAGATTCTAAAGACTTGACCGGAATTTGCTGCAGCAGTGAAAACAATTCACTACAGCAACAAATTCCATTAAAACGTATAGAAAAAGCAAACATTTTGATAATCGTGTTATTTGCGGCCTGTCTAAATCACATGAAATTTTCAACATGAAAAATTATAATCCTATGATCTATTTTTGAAAACAAAAAATTGACGGAAACTTTCGTATAACTCTTTACTCCACCTGCCACTGGTTCAGGAGAGTTTTTAAAGAATAGACAACATTTCTTAACTATCTCGGACTGTATCTCCTCAAATTTCAGGACTGCCCAACTCATGACAAAAGCCACTTCCAATTATAAGTTAAACAATATTGTTGTATTGTTAGGACAGGAATATGAAGAAAGTAAACTTTGTAAAAAACATAACTTTGGTTAGATACAAAGTCTAGCGTTTATAAATAACTTAACTCCTTGCCCGTAAGCTAATTTAAAAATATATACCCCCTGACATTTACATCATGAGACCTCAACACGTGGGGAATGGACACAAACCTTTTCAACGAATACATCAGATTGATCATTATGAGATTAAAACAAACCATTCAAATTACTGCATATTATAAAAGTTTTTAAATCTTACGCGTAATACTGCGCTTGTTCTGCGGTTTTCCCGACAGGAACAGAGGATGGCAAATCACTCGTTAATCAAATTACGCACAAGGCTAATAACGCTGCTGATCTGCTGACTCTTTCTAACATAATGTCATTAAAAGTCCAAACATTACATGTCATAATACACAAACCAGAAACCTATTTCTTGTCAAAATGCAAAGAGGTTTGGCCAGAGGGTTTTATCAAATGCAATCGTGACTAAAGATGGATTCAAATTGTGAGATTTTTTTACCATTAGTAGAGGCAATAGATTGACCAATAAAATTAAAACCTTATCAAGCTTTTGAAGATTGACTTCACAAAAGAAGAGAAGAATACCTTTTTTGTCATTCAACTGATTCCGTTACGTTATGGGCAAACTTAGGTTTCAACTAATGAATCCTCTATGGAGTAATTAATTGATGTGACGTCCTGAAAGAGCATCATGACATACTTGATTAGTTTTAGCATAGGTTTTAGAGCATCATGCAAGATTAGTTTTAAGTGTGGTTGAATTGCCTGAAAAATTTGTTCAAAATTAGGTTATTGGGTCAAAATTCAAATATTCTAAAAATATTTCTTATGACGTCACATTTAAGAACACAATTCTGTGCTTTCCGCCAAGGTTTTTGTGTAAGAAGAATAAGATTACCACAATTCTGTGCGTTTCGCCGCGGTTTTGTGTAAGAAAAATAGGTAGACTATGTTCTATATAGAATGCGCGCGATCAGGCGTACATTGGATATTCTGTGGGCGTTAAAACAAATCATGCATCGCAAATGACAAGGCCCGAGAGAATGGGATTCCTGCATTGATAGCGGATGTTTTTTTTCAAGCACGCTGCCTTTCGCATTTTCGCAAAAAGAACTGCAGGCGAGACGTGGAGACGACCAGCAGCTGTGTAGTTAACGTCTTCCATGCGTAAGTTGACGATATTGATCAAACTTATAGACAACATAAGCTGATTGATTGCTGATTGCTTCTTCAAACTGATTTTAAGGTACTTGTGTTTGCGGAAGAAATCTCTTGATGAAAACATTTGCAACGCTCAACAAGAAACTTAACTTTTACAATCAGTAATAAACCAACTTTTTTGGAAGAAATCATGCCATATTTATTAAAAAAGATGACTGGAGTGGCAATGCTCCTCAACTGGAGCCGTTCTGAGCAAACAATCCTTTAAAATCTGCCGTGGGGTCTTCCTAAACGTTATATGTATATTCAAGGAAGGACTGGAATGCCCCTTCCTGGCCGGGAAATCGAGCTAAGGGGCCCAATTGCATTTTGCGTATTTGATTCAATTTACAATTGGAGAGTTGCTGTATAGTTAGCAACAATTTGAAGTATACATCGATAACCAGGGCTTTCACGTTCAGAAATTGACGCGCGTGACAAAAAACTCGCGTGATCAGTATGGGGCGCGCCATTCAAACTTATTTGATAAAAGAAAATAATGAAGTATTTTTAAACTGAAACGCTTTATTTAAAATGAACAAAATACTTCATGTCCACGTTCCGCCTCAGAGAGGCCAAACGTCCGTTGATCGAGCTTCGATTTCTTTCTGAGTTTGGAATACTTTTTTGAATGTTTATTTTTATTCTCCGTTTCGTGTTCAAATATAAACCCACAGCTCTTTCGATGAGTTTCTCCCTTTTATCTTTACTACAAAGAGGATTATTGCCATAAACGAAATCAAATTATCGCTAAGAGTACTCTGCAGATAGAGAGGCGTTTCGCATTTTGCTCTTTCAACCTTCGAGTTGGAGGAATAAATCGACATAACGATGCCCACTCTGTCACTGTCACCGCCATTGTTGTGAAGATTGATATTCATCATTATTGCATCAAAAGCTCAAAAAATCTCGTTTAGAAGGTTTATATAAGATGCCAGCCCATCTGAGTCGGATAGATTGCGTTATCCCGTACACACTTACAAAAAACGATCGCACCTGTGGAAACCAGCCCACTTAAGTTTTAAACAGGTCAGGTTGAAAAACATATGTATGAACCTTTAACCTGTATAAATATTATAAAATAAATAAATAAAGTGGGCTAGCACACTTCATGTAAACAGGCCCTACTTCAAAGAGCAACAGCATGTCAGCCTCAAAAAGGAGTTTCGGAAATCGCTCTCCTCTCTACAAAATAAGTATTTATCACTGGGCGCGATCGCTCTCAAAGGAAACTTTGGGCGCGTGCGCTATCGCGCGCCCCCCACTGAAAGCCCTGGATAATTCGATCAGGTAACATCAATAAGGTAACATTGTCTAGGGGTTTGTGGAAGCCATGGTTGACGGCAAGAAAAATTTTGCAAATATAGCAGTCTATAGCCTGGCTATTGCAAGCATCCAAAGGATACCATAAATATACTAAAATGCGTGCGGTACAATATGATGAATTTAAATAACGATCAATGTAAGTAAATTGTATCAGGAAGATTTTTTTCAAAATAATTAACGACGTTTCGAGCATAGCCCGTTATCAAGTAAGATAGAAAAGCGATGATAGAACTAAAATACGTTAAAGGAATATGGAATTCGACGAATTGAATAGGAAGACGGATGTAAGAGCATGGAAAAGAAATATATGGAAAAAGCTAATAAATAAATATATATATATACATATACGAAAATACAGAATTTATGTATATGTATATATATGCACATTAATATGAAGAAAAGAAAAAACAAAGAAAAAGGAGAGGGGGGGGGGGTTTATTGAAGATAGGTAAACTGTTTACTAAGTCCAGAAGGATATAAAGTTCCAAGTTTAAAAATTATCCGTAAAAGTCGCTGGAGAAACGGATAATTGGTTGAGAATATTGGTATGGAGTTGAGATGGATAGTAATTTCCATACACTATTTTCCACAAAGGTTTTGGCACCTAGTGTATAAATTCTTATGATTTTTGTCAAATGGATCTTATAAACCTCTTCCATTGACTTCCTCGGGCTCGAAACCTTGCGAACCGAGTACCGCGCACCTTTTTATTTGACTGATAACATTCTCCTCAAAGCTGCAACAGGCTCTTACAGTGAAAGTATGCTGTTGCTTTTATACATAATACTGTATGGTTTTATAAAACCACGGATGATAGATATTTGCCTTACCGACCAATGGTCGTTAAAGATTATATAGCACCATTTCAATTTCATCTACTTTTCATTAATCGATAAGGCAGTACGTTCTTGGTAATCAAGTCTTTGCTAATGACACGTGTAAAAGACGAGGCAGCTTTTAGCTTATTTCCCCTATACATAGTTTTCCGCCTATTAATTATGCATTTGTCATAATGATTATAATTAGAATACGTCCTAGTTAATTTCATAGATGTGTGCAAAGTAAAATTGGAGTGTCAATGAGAAACTTCATGTCTTTTAAACTTCGTTAAAAATGTTTTCCTTTAATTTCCGTCATTTGATTTAAGAGGTGTTTCCTTTGCTTTTTGATAAAACAACTTAATTTCGGACCCTAGAAATCGTTCGCAAGTGAGTGGGTTCTGTTGACTAAGTCCCTCGTTTTGATACCAGTGGGATAATATTCCTGTGCAGGTGCATAGCCTTTAAATTTAGGCGTGACAATCTGTAGACATCATTGGTAGTTGCGATTTCCTAATTAAAAGTGACAGAAGATGAAGTAAATGGCTTATTACTTGACACGGAGGTCGTTGTTAGATATCGTCTCATAGCACTTCTTTCCAATTGGAAATGCAAAGACTATTAAAATTTACCTACGTTCATGAATGAAATTGCAATCACTTAAGCTGCTGAAGATAAGCAAGTTGGGTAAATATTTGATGCTTTTCAACAGATGATGAAAAGATGTGCGTGGCTTTGACAATTCCTCGCCACTGATTGTCTCCATTTTTAAACTGTGCTGCTACAGCAATGATGTCCACCCATTTGGCTGCTGTATTCTGGATTTTATTTCTGATTTCTGATTCGTTTAAAGGTAAGACTAGTCAGTTTTTCCCTACATTGGTTTGATAAATGCACATTGGTTTGTGCATGAGTTTCACGATTAATGCGTTCATCAGGCAACTGTTCTAATTTGAAATTTATTCCTTCTTTTTAGGTTTTTTAGACCATTTTTAGGGAGTACTTGTTTTAATAATATGAACAAATATATCATCTTATTGCAGTGGAAAGAAAAAATGAATTTGATACATTCAAATTTGGTTCTCGCATTTTCAGCGATGAATTACTTTGAATGTGCACATTTTGATCTCCTTTTATTTTGCTAAACGAATGGTCCAGAGATGTCATTTATGCTTACACTATGGACAAATCGTTTTCGGCTGTCCAAAAGCTCGGTCCACAAAAGTGCCCAGTTTACCTTAAATTACCCTGGGTTGGGAACACTTCCTTGCGATTCGAGAGTCTGAATAAGCAAGCCATCACAAGATGTTTCTTTGCTGTCAATCCTCGGATTGTTTACAGCACTAGGAGAGCCCTTCCATCCATTCAAAAGGATTGCGTTCCTACCAACCAAAAAAGTTCCGATATTTATGAATTTACGTGCCAGTGTGATTCTGGGTACATAGGACGCACAACCCAACGATTTGGAGATAGGATAAAACAACATGTTCCTTCCAACATAAGAAATAAAACTGCCCCTTCAAGAGAACAGCCTCCTCGATCTTGCAGGTCTAAAAACACAGGAAAAACCAGTGACTCTGCCATCAGATAACACCTTCTGGACAACTAAGATTATGCAAAATTGAGAATCATGCTTTTTAGACATAGCTCCAGAATAATTACTAGTCATCGATGCTGCGACGTAGACAGGGCTTTACTTTACATACTCTTTCATTACTTTGTGCGAATATAGGTTTCAGAATTGCACCAGGTCTGGGATATTAGACTAGCTTCTATTTTTTTCCTGAGATTTGAGCATAAGCATCAAGATAAGCTGATCTTTTAGGTTTCCCCCTTCAAGAAAAGTGACCTTGTCATAGGTTTCCCCTATCGTTGTCAGTTTTACCCTTTGCCGTTAGGGCCTCTGAAGCAGAGAAGCAAAGGGAAAATGACAATAAAAAATAGGGGGCTATGGTACCAGAAGAAAGGTTGGTATAAAATACCACGCTAATTGCATACATATAACCCTTTCATTTGAGATGTAATCAAGTTGTAATCAAGATGTAATCAAAATTCTTTTTCTGTATCATCATTAATTCAATTCATCCTAAACCTAATGAAATTCCTGTTAAAAGCCTCAAAAAGTAATCTGCACCAAAAACCAATCGCAAGCTAAGTATCAGGGCACTGAGCTCGAAAACCTTTTTGGCTCTCTCAGTGTCATGGACATCCTGCTACAAATTGTATTAGATAAAGCATATTCTATCCAACGATCTTTAATCTTTTTCTTTTATCAATTCGATTGTATGTGCTTTCGAATTGAATTTGAATTTATTAACGCTTTCGATATTCGTTTTTCTGATTAGCATCGTTTAAACTATTTAAAATTATTCAAGATACTCGCCTTCTACAGACTGTTAGTTAAGCTTTAGATTTATACCTGGTTCTGATTAGATTTGCAATAAACCCTAGGTAAACTGGCACATGGCGCAACGTACAAGACAGTGCTTCATGGACCTCGACTGCATTTCAGCGGAACCTTCATCTCTGACGTCGCAACAGTAAACAACCAAATTGTCAACTACGATACAGAATCTTTTTTGCCCCATCATTCGCTGAGCAAGTTTGAGGGGGGCAATGGGGGTTATAACCCATTGGGCACAAATTATTTCATGCTAAAAGACGTTTTTGTTAAGAAAGTTTGCTACGAAAACAGTAGATGTACCAGTGAAAAAGCGAAAGATGCAGTGATCGGGCTTCCTTTGCAAGGTAGGTTGAGCTGGATTGTGTTTGTTTCATCGTTCCTCGAGACTATCGCAAAACATCAAAATGCCCGTTCCTTTTTTCTTTTTGTCCATTGACTCTATCATTGATTTCATGATGTCCATTCATTTAGCATTTGTTCATTCAATTTTACACTGGTCTTTTATTTGATTCATAAGTAGCAAAACAAAAAGCTTTCCCGAAACCAATGTCCTAAGCTTTGTTGCCATTTTTCGTTTCAAACAACTCTTCTTCATCCATTTTCGTTTCCTCAAATGGCATTTAGTGATGATACTGGCACTTAAGTTTCTATTCACGTCAACAATTCCTTTTATCTACTTGCATTACGAGATTGGCTCTTTCATGTTAAGAAACTACAGTAAAAACCCGCTTGTTAGAGCCTACTTTTTGCAGAGTTTGGCAAAGCAGATTGTTGTATTATGGGGTACTTATTGACAGTTTAGACTAAATAGGTTCATAGTTAGGTTCTTAATTTCTACAAAGTAGATATTTTTGTTGATTATCAGAAAATAGTATTGAATCTGGTCTGATCTTCATTCTAAATATTTGATAGTGTACCAATGTTGCCAAATGTCCACCAACAATTGATCAATGATACATTACTTTATATGAAACAGTAGAAATAATTGTTTAAAAATAACAGTTTAAATGTAACATTAATTGTTATATTTTGAGTTTTGCATTTTGAGTTATATTTTAACAATTCAATATTCTGTCACCTTTTTAACTTTGGTAAAAAAGTATATAAATTAAATGGTTCAACTCCACATATAAGAACCTGTTAGGAATTGTTTGGCTACACAGGTTCTTATATTTTGGAGTATTAAAAAAGCAAATTTCTGCCAGAAGGTTCTTAAATTCCTAGGTTCTTACACGCGGGTTTTTACTGTATTATTTTACAACAGGCAAAATAAACAGATTTTTTGTCATTTCTTAAGGATGTTTGAAACTTCAACAGCTTGAAAATTTCAAAAAGAAGATTTTAGCTGCCATTGAAGTTTTTGCTGTTTATCATTCTAAATTTTAAGAAATTCAACACCGTGATGTTTATATTTTTTCATCTGCTAGATGGAGGCCTGTCGTCAGGGGCCAAAATGGTTGATATTGATCCACTGGACTTAAGATGGACAGAGATATGGGCACTTAAAATCAAGATTCCCAAATTTTTTGAAACTGATTCCGCAGTGTTGACTCTGCGAAACTTATGGGAAAGACAAATCAACGGAAACCATACGGATCATGTCTTTTCGGGCCTGTTTCATGGTGTTCTGAAGAATGTAGAATTTCTAGGTAGCACAGAACGTTCCAGTTTTCTCAAGCAGTTGAAGTGGGTGGTGCAAGAATCAAAAAATAAACTTCTATCAATAAGGTTCATTTTGGATTTGTTTGATGAAAAAAGCTTAGGAGGTAGAATCTATGGCACGATCGGCTGTCAAGGGGATGATTCTTCTACATCTAGTCTGAGTGGACGAGCTTTGTTGCCAAGGAAGTCACTGTATTCAGAGGCAGTCTTCACGCTTGATCATGCTAATGACGTCATCGTATTAGATCTTGGAAACAGTCTTCCTACTGGCTTAGATGGAAACACGTTAAAGGAAGCGGGTGTCTCATACTACGTGGCTTATGCACATCAAAGTAATTACACTTGCAAAAATGCAGCGAGCAGCATCAAAGAAGATTTCGAGTTGCTTGGAGAATTGCCGGTCACTGATAAAAATTGGCTAACGCATGATGCTGGGTTTGTTTCAATTGGTATTCCGCGTGGCAAAACAGAACTGTTGATGCGAAGACAATTCTTTATCTTGAAGGTAGAGTTAGATATCTTATTTCTGAATTCGTAAGATCGTGATTGTTACAGAATATTAAGAAAATTCCTTCTTTCGTTACCTCATATAAAATATGATATACAAATCAGGTTCGCCTTAATTTATCTAGACTTTATTGTTAAACAATTCAATAGTGAGAAAGCTATATTAACACAACAAATCGATAACAAGCAGAAAGTATGCTAGCCTGATTCTTTAATGAAGAATCTATAAAACTTGATCAAAAACATCCTGTGTATATTTGAAACTTTATTTATAAATTTCCTTCTCTACTTTTTGAAGATCTTTTGTGATCTTAATTCAAGTAGAAAAAGGTCATCTGTAATTTATTAGTGTTTCGAGTTATTTTGATTTTACTTCACGTGTTGTATTGAATGCAAGTTAATGCCGATTCCTTTCAGAATGCTTATCCCCGCAATTACTTTTATCTTTAATTCTAAATCTCCAGTGTATTCGTGTGAGAAGTCCTTGTCTCCCAGAATGCTTTGCTTGTTGTATTTGGCAACCTCTTGATGTCCTTGGTCAGGCGACAGCAGCTTAGGCTCAACACCAGAAAATGCTTAGGCTAAAAAGCCATGCCAAGCAAGAAACCAATTTACACACAAATCAGTCTAGAATTCAACTGAATGTTTTAGAATTCTTTCAAGAAGTGCAATATCTGCCCAAAATACATGGAACACTATTTGCGTTGTATTTAATATCTTCCATTTCTTTTCCAAAAAAGTCACTTCATTTACCATTGTAGACCCTATAAGGCTTCCATGTTAAAAATGAACCAAAAATATGTCGAAACATGGTTTGTTCCAAACTTTTGAGGTGTTGCTCCTAGACACACGTCTGATGTCTAAGGAATTGGCGCCTATATCGTCATAACAACAAAGACTTCTTAATGTTAATATTTCACTTATTACTAGCCTTGTTAACTTACTATGAAATCTATCGCTGCATATTCAATCAAACGAAACTGAAGTTGTAATTGAATTGGCCCTCTTAAAAAACCCAGGTCTCAGGGTAGATTCTCACTCCCTACTCCCTCATCTGCCCTGTAATATTTCAATAGCTCTTTTTGCCTCTGTAACTGTTGGTTAAAATTATCTTATTGCAAATTTTACAGGTGAAATGGGACGGCTCAAAATTAACCTGTGATGATATTGTGCTGATGGAAAGATGTGACGGGATTCAATTGACACCAAAAGCGAATTTTGTTTATAGAAAAGAATCCGGGGATCATTTGAGCATCGAATTGATTGCATCGTCATTTGGTGAACGTCAGTCCGGAATTCCCATTGAACTTTCACTTGAAGCACCAAAGGATACATCAGTCTTTAGCTGTTGTACACCTAAGTTTGTTTTGCCAGTAGAACTGACATCTGGGCCCGGAGGCATTGCATTGGCAACGGTAAAGCTTCCCGTTCTTAATGCCCCAAGGAAAATCGCTGATGGCCAGCTTTATCGTGTTCTCTTTTCAGCAAGAAATAATTGCAGTGAAACACAACAAGGAACACAGCACATCACTGAAACCGGTAGTTTTTCGAACACATTAATCTTAAAGGTATTTGATCACGTTGAACACCCCTTGATGATCACGTGGGTGGATCACGTGTATCCAATTTTCAAGCAATATGCAAACTTATATCCAGTTATGAAAAGCTCGACTTTTGACATGAGTAATTTCTATTCCGTGGTCAGATTTAAGAACATGATTCGAACATCGCTTAGCCTCCCAACGAACCATAGTAATTACATGCCAGTGTCACGTGACCTGTCACCCAGGAAACGAAGGATGGTAATTGATTGGCTTTCACAAGACCGACCAAAAGTTGGTAGGATAGAAAATTTGATCAGTATTCAGAGACTACGCATGCTGCTTCAGAATGCAGTAGAATTAGAGCATGCGACCATACCGCCGTATCTTACTGCCTTATGGTCAATCAGAGATGGATACAATCGCCAGGTTTATAGAATTATTAAAGTGATTATACGACAGGAAATGCTTCATATGGCACTCGCAGCTAATGTACTAAACGCTGTCGGTGGACACCCGTCTCTTAATCATTCAACTTTCATTCCTCAGTATCCTTCGAACCTTCCAGGGGGGGTTGAGCCAGATTTAATAGTTCCACTTGAAAAACTTTCGCCAGAACTTATAAAGAATGTTTTCATGCGAATAGAAAAGCCAGATACAAATTTAGATAACCAAAGATTTCGCAGCAAAATTTTTGATCACATGAAACTGCTATTTCTTCACAAAAATTGTAGAAACAATGTAAAAACTAATTGCAAGGAGAATATCGAGGCCAAATTGAAGCGGGCCAGTATCAGCTGTTCAAAGGAAGTGAGAGCATATCTAAAGAGAATGAAGGTTACTGTTTTGAAAGACATGGAAAATCGAAACGATTACGATGCTGATCCAAAAGATTTTATAAGATTCAGAGATAGCATAGCATCTTTTTATACACATATCTTGTTTGTCTTTGCTTATTTGACGGATTGTGGAAAAAATGATTCGATATTTACTGGGAATGCAAGCTTGCAGCTCACTACAGATGGTTTTCGGTATGGAAACGGAAAACTGACGAAAGTGAACGATTATGCGACAGCCATCTATGCAATAAAAACAGTCATAGAAGAAGGAGAGGGAACATCGGGGTGCGACCCTTCAGTACATTATTTTGATGCAGGAGATGACTTCTCTCACTATTCCATGTTTCACACCATCATTAAGAAACGCAGAGTCTCCATTAAACATCGCAACAGCAAGCTGTGGAGGAAATATTCAAATTCGTCCGATTATGTAAGTAGCTATATTCCCTCACTCGATCAGGGCCCCCGCCATAACTTTCAAAGTGGGGAGGGGGGGGCTAAAAAATGGAATAATCTTCCTAAAAATGTCGCCCACCAAGGTTGAGAGACGAATAAAATTTTAGTTTCCAGAGTCTCCAGAATGGCCTCTAAATTGTTTTCTGACAATAATTCTCACTAGAAATTCCCATTTTACTAAAAGTGAAATTTTATGAAAAACGCAAATTTTCTAAGAGAATTTTGGTTATCTCTCTAATGTAATAGCAAGGAAAGTGGTCGAGAAACCCAGTTTCTGCCTTTCTGCAAATCGGTGAAATCCTAGAGCTGCGCGCAGTGGTTTCACGTGAGCATTTTCCAATTCCTTTCTTGTGCGCATGCTCTGATCAATTAAGCCTAGGTTATTTTTGGATTCGCTATACTTATTCATTTCAAATGCCTTTTAAACTGCAGGCAGATTGCATCGATTTTCCAAAAGGCTAGCATCAGCATCACTATCAGACATTAGCACTTGTAATTTGTTTTGAAAAGCTTACAACCCAACCCAAAACAAACAAAATCAACTTTGAATGAACGCCTTAGCAGAATTTGGCGTCAAAAACATTAGTTAGTTTTTTCCTTCGATATTTCCTTTTTATTTTATTGCAAAATATTTAATTGCTTGTTCAATTGAAGTTGTTATTTCTTCAAATTTTGCTAACCCATCTTCCTTGTGTTACCCTATTTACATATTTTTAAAGCTAATTGCTTTTTTTCTTTAACTGCTCGCATTCTATGAAATAAATCATGCCTTCTTGGAACACTGAAATCGATGTATTAACAAGTATATCAGCCAATATATCATGAATGTTTATTTGAATAATTGCATCTAGTTCTATATTCCATTGCAGGAATGCCAAGATACTTCGTATGACTTTTCGGGTCCACGTTTACGATACATACCAGGAGCGAGTTGGCCCATCATCTCAAATGCAAGACAAGAGGACCTCAGTAAAGGCAACCTTCCATGGGTACAGGGTCACGTGTTTGCACGGCTCTATAATAAATTACTCGGCGCTTTACACAGATCGTTCAATGGCGAGAGAGAGTATTTCAAGAACGCAAAATTTTTAATGTATTCAGTTGATTATTATGGAAGACGTCTTGTCCAAACTCCCATGGACAGCAGACGGAGTCAATATGTAGGCCCTAATGCTGCTCCCGTGTTTAGATGGACAAGGAATGACAACGCCAGTGGAAAGAGTGTCCGAAGTGGACGGTTGGAACCGGTCAAAATGAATGCTAAACTTCGGAAAATGCATGTCAGCTTGAAAGGAAAGGTTCAATTGAAGCATAATGTAATGAAATATAGAATGCGACAAAAGCATACCAAATACAGAAAAAGAATTAAAAGCAATTTAAAGATGGATCGAAGGACTAAGACCAAACACACAAGCCTAGAATATGGAAATTTGATCACACTTAAGGATGGCCCTGACTTAGTTGATATAATTGAAAATAGTGAAGACTTAATTTACAAATTGTCATATGGAGATAGCAGTGTTGTGAAGGATCCTGTTTTGCTTGACATGGACGACAACAATGGCTATGAAAAGAATTATGATAACGCTGATCACGATTTTGAAGAAAATAATGAAGATGTTGACATATACGAGATGAAGAAAAAATGACAAAGCTGACTTTCTTTCTCAATTTGATTTAGCTGTTTTTATAAGAGACATTTATGATATAGATTTATGATCTGTGTGACAATTGTCTTCAAAATTTGATACAAAATGAATTATCTAAAGAGGGAATTACGGGCCTAGATTCACTCATTCTTCGCTGTTTTGTTTAGCAAATATCCACTTAAGACTTAAAACACTTACTGATTGAGAGTTGTTTTTTGCAATTTCAATTCACACTTGAAAAAAATTGGAGAAAGAGCGGAAAGATCTTAAAGAAAAATATTTGATCATGTTTGAATGATCTATTGATGGCACCGGCGAAATTATTGAAACACTGTATTTACCCAAACACGATAAAAACTTGGACCGATTTTGTCTTAGCGTCAATGCTGAGAAGCAAAAATCCATTAGATAAGAAACGTGTTTGAAGAATCAAGTTTGATTAGATAATTGTTGGACAATACCAAAGAGTTTCAGATTGATATTATCAAACATTAGCATTTCTTATAAGCAAATTAAGGCTTGTTTTATGCGTCGCATTTTAGTCGAGTCGAATTAAAATGAATTAAATGCGACTCCACATTTGTTCAAATGCGACCTTAATGCGACTTCATTTTTAAGTGGACTTGTGTCAAATTTATATCCCATAGCGCCTCCGCTTTGTATCTTTGTGGAGATGGCGCCAAATGATCAAAAGATTGAATCTTCATCATCATTCTCATCAGTGCAACATGCCGACTTGCAGAGGCTCTATTGCTTGCTCTGGCTGCGCAGATTCCCGTGACATAACTAAAGGATATAGTTGATTGAACCAATGCCCAAGATTTTTGTCATCTTGAAAACGTTGAATCCCTGTTGCAGTCTTGACTGTCATAGCAGCTGTTTCGCACAATGACCTTCAATACTTGAATTTTGTTCTGGTTTGTTTGACATCAAATCCAAAGTTTTCCCCTTTTTCTTGACAATTTTTCTGCGAGTCTACAAGAACTTTTTGAACAGGTCTCCATTTCGGTATTTTTTGTGTTCTGGAAGATAAATTTCTTGGCAAGATTGTCATTGCTACATATGACGTTAATGATTTGATTCACGTGTTCTTCAGGCCATGTTGACTTTCTTCCATTGCAGTTTTCTCCAATTTCTTGTCAAATTTCTCAATAACTGATTCATACTCACTGTCTTGTTCTCCACTTTCTTCCTCATCCAAATCAACTGTAGAAGCGCTAGAAGGATTCCTTACCTCGCGCATCTTTTGACCTAGGCCCAAACGGGAAATGTTGCATTCCTCACTCCTAAAGCCATCCTGCTCTTCTGGTTCGATCATAGAGCTGAGACCTTGGTCCTCGGTGGCCATTTATAGTGTCAAAATTGTTAAAACAAAAATTTTTTTACCACGCGATACAAATTTTTAAATTTGGCGCCAAGAAGCACAGGGGTATCAGGTTACAGATAAGAGAAAATATTACGCAGGTTAATGCTTTAACTCTGAAAAATGACGGATCTTGAAATGTGTTATCTAGATGAAATTTTTTTAGATTCTGTTTAATACTAGAAGAAGGACTAGTATTTAAATGAGAGACGTAGAGAGACAGTTTAACGACCAGAAGCACATTTGAACCCTAAAAAATCTCAATCAAGAAGGGGCTGTTGCTAGGTGCTTTTTGAAGAGAGTTGCAGAGTTAACAATCTTCCGACAAAATTAGGCGTAGTCAAAAACGTATTCATTTTGTGGCGTAGTATTTTGGATTCCTTGAACATTACTTCTTGAAATTTATAAATAATTTTTGCAATACAAGAAAATAAGTGAACTTGAGTGCATTCCAAGCAACACAAATCGATGTGTCATGGTGAGTTTCAACAGCATGCAGATTGAAACGTCCGACAGTGCTTGACTTGAACTCTGCTAATGATGTTATCTGGAAGTTCAATTCTGCTACTGATGTTATCTGACCTTGAATAGAAACGATTTCCGATCTAACATCTCAAAAAGACGTTTTTGCCACATTAAATTGAGATTCTAAGGCAGAATGTTAAAAAATGATGCAAATATGTTAACACCACATGACTTGGAATTGAAAATAATCTCTGAAACTCTTCAACCTTCTGAAACTATTCAGAATGCTTATTACACCTTTTGAAAAAGCGGTTATTCCGGGCTCTTCAATTATCTATACATCAGTAAAATTCTTAAGCTTTTTAACCTTTCATGACACCTCAACTTTCTGTAACTCTTCAACAGTATGTTCTTTTCATTCCTCTGTGGAAATACAATCTTCATAAACTCTCTTCGACCTTCGGTAACTCTTCTGTAACTCCTCAATCCTGTTAGACTGTTTCACCTTCCGAGACTTTTAAATCCTCTGTAACTATTTGAAATTCTGTAACTCCTCAACCATCTGTACCTCTTAACTGTATGCTCTTGCCACCTTTTTATAGCATTAGAATTCTGAAAAGTTTTTTGACGGTACAGAATTCGAAAATTGCTTTGGAAAAAGCAAACATCTTGCAACATATTGGCTTAAAGCTTTTTTTTCTGACACTCCTCAGAGCATAAAACGTCAGAAGAAGGGTCCGAAAGGCACGTAAATTCATAAAGAACGGAACTTTTTGGTTGGTAGGAACGGAATCCTTTTGAATGGATGGAAGGGCTCTCGGCTTGCCTAATCTGACTCTCGAATCGCAAGGAAGTGTTACCAGTCCATGGTAGTTTCAAATAAACTTGGCACTTTTGTGGACCAAACCAAAAAAGTTCCGTTATTTATGAATTTACGTGCCAGTTTGATTCTGGCTACGTAGGGCGCACAACCCAAAGATTGGGGGATAGGATAAAACAGCGTATTCCTTCCAACATACGAAACAAAACTGCCCCTCAAAGAGAACAGCCTCCTCGATGTTGTAGGTCTAGAAACACTGTTAAAACAAGTGATTCTGCCATCGGTCAACAACTTTTAGACAACCCAGATTGTGCTAAACTCTATAATGACGATATGTTTCGGATAATTGGCAGAGCCTGATCGTCCTTCCATCTAGCAGTTTTGGAATCGATCTACATAAAAACGAAAATGCCGCCACTGTGTAGACTTAAAGAGTTCATTTTCTCTCTTGAACCCTAGTGGTAATTTTTCTTTAGGCACGCGCACTGATTGGTCAACTATACCGGTCTTGTGCTTCCTTTGTTTTGATTGGCCTATTTCGAACCATAATTGGGTATATATTTTTCATCGTGTTCTTTCGAAACCTGATTCTGACGTTTTGTGGTCTAAGGAGTGTCAAACGAAAAAGCTTTTAGCCAATATGTTGTGAAATGTTTATTTTTTTCGAAGCCATTAAAATTTTCTTGAACTTTCCTCGACCTTCAGAAACTCTGCTGTAACTTTTTATACCTCCAGGACACGTTAGCCTGCTGCAACTCTGCTATATTTTGTATCTCTACAAACATCTTCAACTCTTTCTCCCTCTGTAACTCCTTAACCTCCTGCAACTCTTTCACCCTCTGTTGTAACTTGTTTCCTTCTGTTACTCTTTCATCTTTTGTAGCACCTTAACCTTCTTTACCCCTTCAGCATATGTAGCTTATTGTCCTTTTGTAACTTATTTAACCCTCTGTCAACTCCTTACTCTATTGAAGTCTATTTTTCAAGAAGATGGATTTTGTATTGGTGTGAATCTCCTTAAAGATGAATCAAACATTCATTAAAGGTTTTCAGATTATAAAATTAATCATTTTCAAGCCAAAATTTTTACTTGAAGAATGTAGATAATCTTCAGTGATTAATTAAATGTCACACTAATTAATTTTTGCATACTTCACTTGCGCTGATTAGGGTCCTGTGGAAAAAGCTGTAACCGATCATTCTAGGTGACAATCCTTTCTCTTATCCATCTAAGCATCTCAGGTCCACTTTCTTACCTACACCAGTAGATATTTGTATAATTTGTATAATGTATAATTTTGATACCATACCATAACAATCTTCCAACCATTCGACAACAACAACTGAACAATTCTTTTACAAATATCTTTAAACAAAATCTAACTTGACTCCTAAGAGCAGCATGCTTCAATAATATAAACATAAATTAATTGCTTTAAAAATGACTTTGAGCACGGACGAATTAACAATTGTAACGACATGTAACTCACTCGACGTACTGCACTCTTAGCTACATTGTTTGCTGTTAAACATTATGCTGCATCAAAACGCCTTGAATAAAAATGTCTTGTCTCGAATTAAAGACCTTTGACTTAACTATTTTCAAACCTTTGACTTAACTATCGAACATATGAGAGCCAACATCATATGAACAATGGAGATCCTGTGATCAATCTTCATATAAACGAGGGCAACCTAAATATGATTGGATCAAATAATTATCTGGGCATTCAGATTGATTGAGAACTTAAGTGGAAAGAACATATAACTTTTGCTATAGGCAAGATTTTTAGAGCAATAGGTATGCTTAAATATTCTGAAAAATATCTCATATTAGAAAATGTGAAAAAACATGTATACAAGTAAAGTTGAACCACATTTCAGAAATTGCTGCTCGGTGTGGGGTTGTTGTGGAGAAACCCTGCTCGATACGCCGCAAAAGCTCCAAAACCGTGCCGCACGAACATCATCTCTTCCTTTGATTGGAAGCCTAGGGTGGTTAACTATAAAAAGAAACGATTAAATTTGAAACTGCAACTGAAGTTTACAAGTCTCTCCATGGATAAGCTCCTGGATATATGCAGCTAATGTTTACAATATTGTCGGAAAACAGTTCACGGCCTCTCCGTAATGCCGATACGGATCTTAGAATACCTCGCTTTGCAACCTATTACGGGCAACGTAGTTTCTCATATCGAGGTGTGAATGTGTGAAATAAACTAAGCACTGAAATAAAAATTGACCCTTCACTGGCTACTTGGCTACTTTCAAAAGTTCATAGTTGCCAAGTCTTCCACATCCTGTTGGAGACTCCAGCATTTCAAGCTTGTTTTCAGCCTAGCTCCGCAACAGCAAAACCTAGAAAAATCTCCAGCATTCTATGATTTCCAAACATTTAAAATTTACTTAGTATTGTCAGTGGTTTTTTCATGCAACCAATAGAGTTGTTTTTCCTATGTTTAGATGTCTCACGGGCTTGCGACCTGCAATTCTAATCTCCCTTCGTCCCCTGCTGCTTTTCTGTATCGTGTGGCAATGGAAATATTTTAAGCTCCTCCAAAGCTACACAGTGCTTCTGCGCAGCACTCAAATCTCCAGCATTTTATTCTCCAACACTTGGCAACTATGAAAATTTATATTTTCTTCCTTACCAGAATAGCTTGTATATCAATTTTAGTTTATCTTTGTTACTTAATTGTTTGTTGATTAGCTTAGGTTTTTAGGCAGGGCACATTGTAAATCAGTTCATATCTTTTCATTTACTGAATGTTTTATCCTGTATAAATAATTAAAAGTCAAATCAATCAATCAACATTGGTGGCAAACTGAAATATATTAAGTGGCAAACTGAAGCGTATTAAGCATGATCATGAAGGCTAAAGAGAAATGATCAACGAATATGTTTTTGTTCAAATTGCTTCACAAATCGATTTTCAGTTTTTGTCAACACAGAAATTAGTGGCTTTACTCTTGCATATGCATATATCAAGAGAAACTTGAAACCTGCCCCCGCTGCCCCCGCTGCCTCCACTGCCCCCGTGCCTCCACTTGCCCCCCCGCGCCCCCGCTGCCTCCATGCCCCCGCTGCCCCCTGCCCCCGCTGCCCCCGCTGCCCCGGTGTTTTCATTTTCATTTTATCATTTTTACCCATGGTAGCCATGCTAAAATATACAAAAAAATATTTAATTAAAATTAACTTTAAAAAATCAAACTAATCCATAACGTAATTACAATCGTTAATGGAAATTTTTTATGCATACATTAATAATATTGAGAAAAGGAAGGTATGATTGGTTCTTCATGAACAGTTAATTAATTTTTCATCGCTTTCATAAAAAACGTTGCGTCAGTTTTGCTTGCATATCAAAACTGTAAGCGTTGCGGGAAAGGATTTCCGTCGTTTATTTTTCAAAACTTCACCTATTCAGCTAGATTCGTTTTTTGTTTCCCTGTCAACACATTTGCGCTTTCCCTTCATCTAAAGGGTATTCATGATGTACAGACATTTCACTAAAGGGAGCTAGGACTGCGATTTTGTAGGAGAACTTTGTGATTTTGTCGGAAATATTATTTTGTTGTCAATCTTTTTAGCTAAATATAACAATTTGAGAGGAATGTTTTTCAATCTGGACATAAAGATTTACTCAGTTGTTCTGAATCAGATTGGCAATCTTTCAAATGCCTTTAAGGAAAAGTAAAAAAAAGTAGTATGATTTACGAGACTCGACTTTGAATAGATGTTAGGGTTTATCTTATGACATATTCCAGTTCTAATGTTATTTTGTTTTGTTCAAATTTATGAAAGAATGAAAACACTTTAAATCTAAATTTCCTGCCCCTTGTATGCATTTTTGCCATCCAAGTTGTTGTTTTGTTCATGAAAAAATGTGTAGTTTTTGTCCAAAAATGTTCAAAGAGTTGCCGTAAACTCTTTTTTAGCCCCCGGGGGCTTATTGTTTTTCAGCACTTCAAAGTGGGGCTTATAAGGAGGGGGCTAGATTGAGAGAGGAGGCTTGATTAACATTTTGTAACAAGAAGTTTTTTTCAGTGGTAGACTAATTTTTTATTATTTGTAAAATAAAAATCATCAAATCAGGCTTCTATATCAATAATATTGCCATCGTCGTCGTCATCAATTATTAATTCGAAAATATCGATTTTATTTTGATTTGATGAGAAGTTTTCAAAGGCTAATGAATAAAATGCAAATCTCCTTTTCTTGTCAAATCTAGTTATTTCGGTATCAGTGAAATTTTTGTGGAGGTGGGGGGGGGGAGCTAAATTGAGAGAGGGGCTTATTAAATTTTCCCTGAGATTAGTGGCTGTATAATCTATTAAATTTTTAACCTCGTAACCTCGTTATCGTTATCGATATGAGCGAGATTTAGGCCCTGCCCTCGTGTCCACCATTTTATAGTGAGAATAATGGAGTTGTTTCATGTTCAACGATTTTACGGTGATGACGATGAATTTGGCTTTCAAAGAAACCCAGAAAAAGAAAAAGAAAGGCTTGAAGAACTAAGGAAAAAGATTGAAAAGAAGAAAACAGAAAACTTGGTTGCGAAAAACTATAGTGACAAGTGCGAGACCCCTCGAAGTCGGACAGAAGTGAAAACAAATGAGCACGATGATAACGCAAAAACAGTCGTCGAGAGGACGAAGAAAAGTACAAATAAAAAGAGAATAAAAGAACATGTTGATTCTAAAGTCGGTATACAAGGATTTCTTTATGAGAAGGAAAGTGGAATCGAAGGTGCGCATATTTTGGAAGAGGGGAGTCCGAGAAAAAAGAGAAAGAAGAAATCGATTGAACATGACAGCCATCGTGAAAAGCTCTCAAAAGGCTTAGGTAAACGAGAACCGGTGGAAGCAGATGGAAATGATTGTCTTGCAAACAAGGAAGAACAGGAAAACATTTCGAACGCTGATTTGTCGTTGGATGCAGAAAAATTACACAAGGATTCTAGTCCTGTGATGGACAATAATAAAGTAGATATTGAAACTGATCCTATTGACAGCATAGATAATTTCAATGCGAATGGGGAGCCCCAGACATTGAAAAATCAGAAAATTATTATCCTATATTGGGATCGTTAAAGAAGAAGAAAAATAAGCCATCTGTGAAGAGGATGTTACCAAAATGGATTGCACAACCTAAAGAAATTTTTTCACAGAAGACTAATGAACAGGTTTCAGTCAAGGAATGCACTTATTTAAAAGAATTCTCCAAAAAAAATCTTGAACTACTCAGAATTAACCATCTCTTTCCAGTGCAGTCAAATGTTATTCCATACATTTTGTCTCAAAATTGTAAAGGATCAATTTTTGGAAAGGCAGGATTGCAGCCTTCTGATATTTGTGTCTCAGCACCTACAGGTAGCGGAAAAACTCTTGCATATGCAGTCCCAATTGTTCAAGTTATTCATCATTGTTTATTCAGGCGTTTACAAGCATTGGTAGTTTTGCCTAGCAAAGACCTAGCTTCACAAGTGAAGACTGTTTTCTCTAAACTTGTAGCAGGAACGCATCTGAAAATTGGTCTTGCATCAGGTGTAAAGAGTTTTCATGATGAGCAGCAGCTTCTTGTCTCTGTTGGGTGTGTTAATTCTTTATGAAATTTGTAACTGCAGTTTTTATACCTTTTTTTATTTACATAGTAGACAGAGTTAATGAGAATTTTCTTCTCAGTAACTCTTTGCATTTCTGTTTATATTCTCAATTATTCCGTAGATTTTAATGGCTGCACAGACAAACTTGTGCATTTAGGTTTTTCAGAAGCAACCAATCCAGGCTGGTCCTAGATAATTTCATTAGGCTTTGAATCAGGCCTTGCGAGGAGCGAAAGCCAGGGCTTGGCAAACCAAATTTCCTTCAATTTTCTATGTGCTCAAAGTACTCAATGATTTGATTCAAAATTGTTTCAAAATTGATTTTTCTTTGTGCCTTTATGATCATTTTTATTGTGAATCATTCCAAGTGTTGATATTTAATTGATGAGGGTATATTATCAAAAATAATTTTTTTAATTATCAGCTTTTTATTTCATTAGACCAGGCACAGACATCAATATATAATTTTTTTGGTGCCTGAAGTTTAATACATTTTTTTAGAAACAAAGAAATAGGGGGATGGAGGTAGACATCATTTGTACATAATTTTCTCTACTTTCCTTCAGATTGTCTTCCAAGATAGATGCTGATTGCAGCATAGAAACTTACTATGTTTTTTATTTAATCAGTACTTCTTAATCCCACAGGCAGCATGGCTTTGTGAGCAATGTTGATATTCTTGTTTCAACGCCGGGGCGACTAGTTGATCACATTACATCAACAGATGGCTTCTCTTTACAACATATTCGTTTCTTGGTGATTGACGAGGCTGATCGATTACTTGGTCAATCATATCACAACTGGCTTGAGAAGATCTTTGAGGCCATATTCACTCCATCAACATTTGATTCTTCAAATAAAAGGTCAATTTCTTTTACTTACAACAATTACAATGGATGCTTGTAAATATGAACAAAGGAGAGACTTCATTTAATCCCACCAGTTGTACTGTGTTCAACATAACATAATTTAGTATCTTCATAATTTTCTGTAGCATTTTTATTATAATTTGGTTTGTCGATGTAATCACTGTTGTTCAATTTTAGTTTTATTAAGGAATTTAGTAAGACATACTTAAAACATACTTTTATGATAAGAATTTAAAACCATCTTGCTCAGCACAGCTCTGACTATATTGCATTGAGCATTTTGTTACAGATGAATAAACAGTTATTTTACTTTCACATGATAAAATACACTATTAAGAGTTCCTCAAGCGCATGAGTTTGAATCATAAACTGATAAGTAATATCCTTATGTTTGATTAGAAATATTCACTTTTTTCAGTACACTGCTTGAAGGAAGATGTGGAAGAGGACATCTTGTAGCATCCAGCATTGACAGAAATGAGCTACCATTGCAAAAACTTTTGTTTTCGGCTACAATGACACAAAACCCAGAAAAGCTAGGCCCACTGAATCTCTATAATCCTGTATTTTTCAAAGTTATGGGAAAGGCAGAGATTGAAGGCAAAGATACTTCAAAAGGTAAAGAAAACTGTCATTTGATCCTTCTTCTTCCTATGCAAAATCTTTTTTCATACATTTTGACTCGTATTTAATAAAGGATCAGAAGCTATATGCATACCAGTGTTTTCAAAGCATTTTTCTGTTTGCACAGGATCTGAGGAGACTGAAAGATACACTTTACCTGAGCTTCTTGAAGAGAAAATGACAATTTGTAAGCCTGGAGAAAAGCCACTGCTGGTTGTCTACTTTGTTAAAGTGCTGAACTACAGGCGAATACTGTGTTTTACTGGATCTATTGAAGCAACACACAGGTTAGTTTTAGCAGTTATTAATCTTCTCTGTTTTGTAAAATTTTTAACTTTTATAAACTGCTCAGTATATAAGTTGATTTCAAATAGCTTGTTTCGTTGATCCAATAGAAGTTTCATTGATTTGATTTGCAAGTTCAGGGAATTCAGTGAGGTAGGACAGCACAGATGCATGCAGGCCCATATTCAAGCTTCTTGCAAGGATGATTTAATAAACATTTTACAGCAAAATATGTTTAACTATGCTGTCGTATTCTGTTGATTTCATTATATCAGTCTTAATAATATTCCTTTTGTGATGTGGTTTAATTAACATGGTTTAAAGTAGGTTTTAACTTGTGTGATTGCTCTCTGCCAACCAAAGAGCTTATAGTTAGCTTATAGCTTATAGTAGCAACACAGCTTACAATGATGCAGAAAATAGAGATTCATGATATGCTTGAAATTAAATATAAAGTTGTAAACATTCTATTCCTTCCGCATCTTCCATTCCGCATACCGTTGGTCTTCAGGTTTTTCTAATCAACCATTTGCTTCTGCTTCTTTTATCACCTATGGAATTCTCCTTGGCATGGACAGCAGGGGTGGACAATTGGGTCTTTCAGGCACCCAGGATGATCGGTTTTTATCTGCGGGAGACCGCTAGACGACCAAATTTTCTGAAAATGTCCACTCCGCATGCCAAAGTTCCATTTAGGGAGACCACAGGCCATATGAGGGAGACCACTGACCATATGAGGGAGACCACTGAAGGAGCTTCTGGTCTCCCACTGGGGGACCACCTTTTTACCTGAATCGTCCACCTTGGCTCAAACCTTGCCAAAAGTCTTCTTCTAAATGGTTTTCAAAATGCTCCAAAACTGTCAAATAATCGCCTAAACGCCTAATCAAAAAATCTAAAGTTTCCTATGTCCTCATGCGCAACTTATACACCAAAGTAATCAACAATGCAAAAGCTACTTTCGTACAACGCATCAACATTAAGATCTCCAACCACCAAACAAATTCTCGTACCTTTTAGTCCATGGCCAAGGTCGTCTCCCAAAATTTTTGTTAATCCTCCTTTCCTCCTTGAAAACGAAAATGGATTCTCTTTTAGCACTGCTTCAGCCAAGGCCAACCACTTCCCTTTAACTTTTGCTACAAATTCGAATCTTGATGCTCAAGATCACAGCCTTGTCATTAACCGCCTTCATCTTTATCAATGTCACCAATCAAGTTCCCCAACCGCACGGTTCGCAAAGCTCTGCTCGTAGTTAGCACCTCCAAACCGACATACAACAGCAATTGTTCTCAATAACTGTGCTCCAGAACTCACACCCATTGTTAATCAAATTCTCCAGCTCTCCTCTTCACTTGTATATTTCCAACCTCCTGGAAACTAGCCCACATTTTTCCTCATCCTAGAACGGGGGAAAGTCTGACCCACCAATAAACGTTCAATCGCAATCACTTCCCTCGTATCTAAAACATTGAAGACCACTGTCACGAAAAACTACTTATATGTTTCTTGAAACCACTAAACTCCTTTCTGATCACCAGATTGGAACATCAGAGCATAGTTGTCTTTCGGAACATCTTGTGGGCCTTAGATTGTGTCTGGCACAAATATCTAAACGCCCCATGTATGGTCTGCACCAAACGCTCATAAATTGCATTGGTAGCTTTCTCACTGACAGGTCCATAGCCACTGCAGTCGACGACTACCTCTCAAGCCCCCACTCAATAAATGCTGATGTTCCACAGGACTCTATCATATCTCCGGTTTCATTCATAATTTTCATAAATGATTTACTAAGTTCCACATCTGCAAGCATTTATCATTTTTCTGATGACACTTATCCTGTTCCAAAAACGCCGATAACCTGTTTTCATTTTCCAAACAATAATCAACAAGTTTGATCTCTCCTCCCTCTCTTCCAAATCTTCCCCTCCTTTTCCTTGTTGGTACTAAGCTATAGGCTCCTGGGCCTTTCCTCGACATTATCAACTAAAATAGTGCATTCTACATTCAAACATGTTTTTAGTGCATGATTACAAGAAGCTGTTGTATGGTTTTCTTTTTTATGTGAAAACAATTTGATAGTATGCAAAAGACCCATCTCAACCGAGACATAGAACTTCACTGTCATTGGGATTTTTCTATGTTTTTTTAGAAATTGTACTTTTCAACAAAAGTAGATAAGAATAATACGAGTAATAGATTACGTAGTTTTATTCATCCAAAGTCGGTCACTTATAAGTCCTCGTGTAATGCCTACATGCAAACACTGCTTTTCACATCACTTCCTTTTATTTTGGCCATCACCATCAGGCTGTCTGGTTTCAATATGATTAATATATGCTCGCCACACCTCGTGTTTCCTGTGCCTGGAAATACAGGAACCTGGCGACTTTTCTCTCTCTAAGTGCATTTCTCTGATCAATAGCTGACTGAGTTTCTTTTTCAAAATTAGAGTTAAGGGTTTTGCTTTTGTAGTTGGGATCAGGAATAGAGGAAGTGAACCATTCTACTGCAAGAAAAAAATTCCCCCAGGTTTTCCTCTTTCGCCATTTCTTTGCCATGCAGTTGGTAAGAAAATCACGAGAAAGGTTAAAGGGAAAATTCAAGAGAAGAATGCAAACTTGAAATAGCTGAGAATTAGCAATCATTTGGACTGACCTTTAATTTTTCTTAAATCATTACAACATGTGAGAATCCTGAGTATGTTTTTCCCCTTTTAAAAGGGAAAATGTTTGCTTGCATAATTCAACTAGCTTCAGTCCTACTCGTTTACTGGCCTAAGTCCCTAAACAGGTTCGCCTGTGTTGAGTTTCCTTCGCAATTGTCTTTTCCTTGTGTATTCATTTTCAACGGGATTTTCTAGTCAACACTCTTACGAACGTCTAATCTATTTTTAACTTAAACGTTTTCTGACGCTTGTTTGACACATAAAGAAAAAATAAGGTGGAACAGCACCTAAGGTCAGCCGCTTTTTGAATCTCTCCAATACATTCTCCTCTTATTCATTTGGTTTTAGGTTGTTTTTGCTCTTAAAGGCATTCGATATCAAAGCATCAGAATTTTCATCAAGCCTCAATCAGACTCAAAGGAAAGGAACATTGCGTGATTTTAAAATGGGAAAGATCGACTTGCTTGTCTGCTCTGATGCAATGTCCAGAGGGATGGATATTGAAGATGTCGACTTCGTTATCAGTTATGACCCACCAGTGAACATGAAGACCTACATCCACAGAGTTGGCAGAACAGCTAGAGCAGGCAACAGAGGTACGAAAACGGATTTATTCAGCTATGCTAAACCTATGTACACAGAAATCTTCATTTTCTAAATTGCTTATGGCCAATGGTGAGAACTTCACAAGTGAATGGGCAATGAATGAATGAATGCATATACAAAGCATCATATGATAAAAAGCAAGAACATATGAGCTGCCACCAACTTTTCCTTGTTGAAGCTCATTCTATATTTCCAAACCTTGGAAGCTGTGTATGTCCCTTTGTTGTAACTTTGTCTCTTCAAACCTGCTGAAGAATATCGACAGGAGAAAGAGAGAGGGCCTTGGTGTATAGCTCCGTAAATATTCTGTATCCATGAAAGCAAGGATCTTCTGCTTTGTACAGCGTGCTCCTCCCTACCTATAAGAAACCTTTCCCGGAAGGGAACAACCTCCTCGGCCTTGCAGATCCTAAAAACAACCAAAACTAGTGATTCTTTGCTTTGTGACTAAGATATTGCCTGTCCATGGGGAAGTCTGGGTGACAACAAGGCACTTCGGTCTGTCTTCAATTACACAACAATTTCACAGGAATGTAAAAACAATCCTTGTTTTCTTTCTGGCATTGCAGATTTTTGGGGAGAAAGAGTGCAACATGATGCCCACCATAAATGAAGATTGTCCTTTTAGACACCTCGTGTCTCCTATCAACATCACATTTTTCTTTCAACGAATTTTAATAGTATTGATTTTATTCCCTCCTCTCTTTTTTGTCTCATCTTCAGACACTTTTTGTCGAATCTCATCAAATTTTGAGTTGTGTCATTGTCAATCAATAAAAGCTTTGACCAACAAAAGGTGTAGATTCGTACTTGCTTTCATTAATACTTGAATTAAAAAACTGTTTCCTTTTGTAAGGGACTGCACTGACACTTCTGTCGTCAAAAGAGGTATTTCACTTCAAGAAGATGGCAATGGACTCAAGCAGGAAGTCATCAGTTCAGAAATTGGTTGTGCCAAAGAATGATTTGGAACCATTAATGGCAGATTATCAGAATGCACTTGCTTCTCTGAAAGATCTAGTGAAGACTGAAAACCAGCAAAAATCTTAATACCCTACCATGTTAAGCATATCAATATCAAACTGAAGGCTTATAGTGATTTTGTTGGAAAAGGTGTTATGATAAAAAAATTCCTTATCAAACCTATTACGGTCTTGGTGACATGGAGTTTTTCAGAGATCTGCTTTTTTTCTTTTTAAGCGTCTGATTAGCGCTTTTCACTTCAAACTCGACAGGTCATGATGGCATCCCTTGCCCAAAGGTCTTCTTTCTTAACTCCCCATGTATGGTCTGCACAAACCCTATAAATTGGCAACTTTCTCCATAACAGGTCCACAGCCATTAGAGCTGATAGCTACGTCTCCAGTTCTCTCTCGATTAATGTTGGTGTTACACAAGGCTCGGTCATATCTCCTCTTTTATTCATCTTTTTCACAAACGATCTTCGGACTTCCACCGCTACAAGTATTTTTCTTAGGTTGATGACACTTATCTGAGTATTGCTATCAAAACCCATCTTCAAAGAAATTTTTCAGCCTCACTTTCAGCCTTACTAATGATAATTTTATTGAGTACCAAATCCTCGATTTAAGCAATGGGGCTTGTAATTATGGTAAACAATTATGGTGATTTGCCACAATTTTATTTGCTGCCATAACCTTAATATCATACCTAAGCTCCGCCGTGCTTGTGTTAATGGGGCAAGGTAATGGTGGAAAAAGGTTCTCCACACCCCCCCCCCTCAGTTTACTAGTCAATCTAGTACCCCCCTCCGGGATAAAAAACTTCCACATTTTTTTTATTTTTGCCCCGCCACTTTTAAATGCATTTCGCTGAACATTTTCTTCCTAAACCCCTTTATGTCGAAATTAATAATATATTTGTGTTTCATTTCATTGGCCCTTAGGGAAAAAAGGGGTAGGAAGTTGATCCCCGTCAGTCCATAAACAACATTACATCACAATTTCATTTTCAGTTTCAATAATTACAACCTTTGTCTTGGTTCCTAGTTCATAGTGTTGTATGTTTGGCCGTACAACGAAACTGATTTCTCTTCAGAAAGCGTTACTCATTTTGCAAAAATGCGGAAGCTTGACAAAGACGTGTTTTGTTTTCTATAAAGGTCATCCCTGACTCATTTGCGGCCAGGCATCGGAGGCTGGGAGCCGCTAATAGTCAATAAAGACTTGCTCTGACCAACTTATCGTGATTCATTATTTACATGTTCTGTTCTCCTTAGGAACAACACTAACCGAAGAATAAAATCAAGCAATTTGAAATCCGCATCTTGAGTGTAAATAAAAACTGTTTCTTCTGTTGGGGGTAGAATAGATTTAAATTGCGAAGACATATGGTGGGATAAGCTCTGTATTAAGAGCAAAAGCCTTTTGAAATTCTTAGAAGCAAAACGCGAGAGACTTCCAAAACTCGTCCATTATTAATGAAATCAAACAAATATCTGCTTAGACGGATATAACACCTTTGCAAAAATTCTGTTGAAAGCTGATCTGGTTTGAAGGAACAATTGCTTTCAAAAGTCGATTTTTTGGACAAAATTATCATAAGTTACTGTCGTGGGATGAATATTTCTTAGGATGAATATTTCGTGGGATGAATATTTCATCTGAATTTTAACTGCAATAAACGAGACCTGGTTGCTGAATTACTTGGCATAGTTAGGAAGCTCGAGAAAGTTCATAAGGAATATGCAGCTGTGATAACATGGAAACAGGTTCATGCGCGCAACATTGTTTCTGGCACGTTCAAGACTGTACTGACTTGATTGTCTCTGGCAAACATAGACGCAAATAAAACCTGCTTTAATCAAACACAGACCCTTTAAAAGTCTCAAATTTGCTGCCCCTGTATTGCCCACCCTTCCTACCTCCGTACTACGACAACATTGTTCAAAGGGAGTTTAAACAGACAGAAAAAACAGACAGAAAGGGAATATTCACTGGAAATTCGAAAGTACATTGTGCAGAAAAACACAAGGGCTGAGATAGAGATTACCCTATTTGATCTATTAAACGCCCGGGCACTTATTAATTTTTTGTGCTTTTAGGAAGACTATTGGAGATGTGCGTTTTTTGAGAGGGGCGTTTATTGAAAAATGGTAATTTTTAAAGATAAAAAGTTTTTGAAATCAATCACGAAAAATATGAAAAGTTTAAAATCCAATTAATCGTTGAAAAATCCTTCTCCTCGTAATCTGGTTGTCATCGCAATATATGAGTTTTAAATTTTTCATAACCTGCACGATGTTACTTTCTCTCGGTAACATGCTATTTTTTTGTCATCTGAACCATTTGTCGACAAAGGCCATGCGCAACATTGAAATCGCGATGGTGTCATGTTCGACATTGCTTATGAAAGTGGGGTTTCTCTTTTTTGCAATACTTTTAATTATGGCGCTTGGCATTTGTTGGAGGGTAGGCAATATTAGGTTTATGTAACAAATGTGGTTTTGAGGGGGTGTTTATTGGAGAGGGCTTTGCGAAAGAGAGGGGCAAGGGCGAGGGGGTTATCGCGATCCCTCTTGATTTGACATAATGGCTAAATTGGTTTAAAAAGTTGTAGGAAATTTCAGATGATAGGCAAAATATCACCAGAATTCCCATTAGATGGGCTCATACCGCCCCTGAAAGGCCCCGTGCGTAAAAATTGAAGGCAGGTGGCGCTCGCAGTTACGCTTTCGACTTAACTGATCCCCTTCCCTCTATATTTGAAGTTCCTATCAAGCGTTTTTGGGGAGAGCAAAGATATTCAATTGGAAAATATGTCTCTAAACTCATAAAGCAACGAATGATAATGATACAGTTAAAACATTATGCCAACAAAACAAATAACTAAGTTGACAACGTCCTAAATCAGACGTGAAGCAGAGATGCCGAATTCTAAAAAAGAAAAACACGATCAGGGCCTATAAAATCGGCCTTTTTAACTAACTTTGATTTCTGATAACACGATAACTGTAAAGAGCTACGTATATACTGAACAGCTAAAATTATGCAATAAGTGAAATAGGTTTCTGTATGGATTCATACTGACGCAATGTTGGGTGTGCTCTGGCCAGGGTTGAGGTGCATGCTGCATATGTGAGGGATGATGCCAAATGCATGCCTATTAATGGGGGGGGGGGGCACGAAGTCAGTGGATTCAGTGGAGAGACAGGATGGCGTTTGACCATGGGGTAGTAAGGAGATCTCCAAATCCTCAAAAAAGATGACCTAAACTAACACAAGCAGAACTAAAATGGGCATTCAAGCAATATCACAGCATTTTGATAAAGCAGAGGGCTAGCAGAACAACAGTAACAACAGCAATAATAAACAGCCTCCAAATGAAACAGCTGCGACCTCTTATTGGTTACGGATTTATCAAATTTACAAAAAAATCTATGCCTTGATTAACTAAGAGTGTTAATAATAAAAATACGTTGCAGCAGTCTTTTGCTGTATCCAAATGATGTCTCTATTATGATTGCGCTCGATCAATAGGGGACCACAACAGAATCACACAAATCACTTAGGATAACAATTTCAACACTTAGTTGCAGTTCGAATCTAAAGGTGGGTTGTGTGTCCAGTGAATAGTAAGTTCACTAATTTCTACCTGCAATATATCGGTCTTCAGATTTGGATAAATGATGTTTGCGAAGTCCATGTTATCGCTGCTTTTTCGGTTTGTTTACTTGAGCATAAACAGGCGGAATATGTCTTGACACGGGATAGCCGTCGTCATCTAAATGGGTGTCATTATAGGGTGGCGGAGCTCGCCTATCTGGGGCCACCCGTCTTCCACTGTCTCTTTCTCCGCCGCGCGAACCTGACCTGCTCTGCCCGTATCCATCAGTGTATGAAGTTGGCACGGCACCGACAGCTGGATAACCATGTTCATCAACTTTGACATCCGCATAATTAGACTCGTCTTCTCTTTTTGATGGCTTAGGCCCTTTCCTTCCTCCTCCGGCACCTAACTTCCCATAAACAACAGGTTGTCCTTTCGGATCAGCGTATGTTGGCTCGTAAGGATCCCGTTTAACTTGACCGCTACCAGCCTGAAGGACCGAATGGTAAATAGAGACGCACATGGAAAGTGACAAACAACCATGTATTGTAAATATATTATCTTTCAACGCAATTTTAGAACTGAAATATAATGACCAATAAGTCTAAGGCAAACAAAACGAATGTACGCGACAAGCAGAGGTCGGTCACTCACCGTGGAATAATTAACATCTTCGTCTTGAAGTGGATATCCAGGTTCACTAGAGAAAAAATCATTGCAATAAAGCAACCACTGGCACAACGGCAAAAGATTTGTTGGAAAAAACAGTTTTCACACTGTAGAAAGGTTTCCAATGTGTGTGGTTCTTTCGACTTATAGACACGATCTTAACAAGAAAAATGAAAAATAAAAAAGCTTTTGGCGTTTTTGGTTTAAATGATAGTAACTTGAGCAATGGTTGATGGAAAGGAAATTTGAGAGTGAGTCAAATAGAATTTTAGGCCAAAATACAAAACAGTTTATATTTTTAAAGCGATCATCTTTAAGATAGAAACATGACAGAAATATTGACATACCCTGAATCCAAGTCTTTTTTCCCAGCAGCTACAAGAGAAAAATTTATTGAGTAAGAAATATCCTTGCACAGTGGTCCCATCTCTAGCATGCGTTGTACAGCATAATGTGAATTCATTCTAACATTGCTGTTAACTACAAATCACAACTTCTAATAACACTAGTGAAAGTTGCTTCCATATGCCAAGTGAAAAGCATTCATCATTTCGCAAAATTATTTTCTTAACAATCATTCAACTTCCTTTTCAGTATTTTAAAGATGGAGCAGTTAATGAGCTATCGATATCATTTTCGACGAGGGCTGTTCTTCACCTTACACATTTTAAATAGGAAAGAGGCACCGATCGAGCAAACTTGACAGGCTTGTGCTCGTGTTTCTGATCGCATAACTGATGAAAAATCTTTCCTATCTTTTCGGTCATTATTCTGGAGTTTTATTCCCTGAAGAGTGTCAGGCGAAAAAGCTTTAGCGTCCTAAAATGTCTGCCTTCTTCAAAGGCGTTATACCGTCAAAATGTAATGCTCTTTGGCTTTTATCGACGTAAAATGTGCTCGGCTAGCCTCTACGCAGAAGAAATAATTCACGCAGAAGGTCCTAAATCATAGGGTTATCGCTCACCTTTTGATCGTTTTTTCAAGTAGATAATGAGAACAATGAGCAAGATTAAAACAATTAATCCACCAAAAGCTCCCCCGATCACAGCTCCTATGGGTGTCCCTGATTGTTTACCTGGATCTAAAAAGTTACAGTGTTCATTAATATTAATAATTCATTAATACTTCATAGAAATAGGCACTCGCGAGAGCACCAACATGCACGGTTTCTAAAGACAGAAATGACATTTCAAAGTAGATTAAAAAAGGTACAGCGAATTTCATGCAGTTCCCTTTTTTACGGACATAAATCCTTTAAAAGCCGAATGGAAATGCTTTGAATAACCGGGTGACGAGGATGGGCTTTAGCTTTTAAATTTGCTCTGTAGATAGGTGTAAAAGCACTAGACTTTACGGACCCTCCAAACGCTGAGTGAATGTTGGCTGGATATTTGAGCACAAAAGTAGAAGAAACCCTTTCTCGAGTATTCAGTACCCACGTTTTGGACAGGTGTACACTAGCCCGATTGGTTATTGCGATTATGAAATGTTGAAATGTTCTGTTTAACGAGGCAATTTGAACCCAGCAATACACACTAAAGAGTATCTACGATATACAGTTTTCCTATTTCATCCGTCCTCTTCCACTTTACTTCCATAACGTCACTTAAAAGCACAAGGACCAATCGTGCTAGTGTGCACCTGACCTCCGAAGCATAAGAACTAAACTTATTTGATATATATTCAATATCCTACAATACAAAGTACTGGGAATAACATGGACCATTTGACACTTGAGAAGATTCTTTATCAATAGTAGACTAGGACCACAAACGCAACAATTTAAAAAATCAAGTTTTGACAGGTTTTCACCACGAAAATGGCAGAGGAACAAGAGAATCGAGCCTCTTCAGTTTGCATATTATTTCCCAAAATAAATCAATGTACCTTTAGGTTTTGTTACTTTAACTGTGCTCAATGAGGCCGCTTCGGAGCTTGATGACAACGAATCAATGTTTTTTGTTGGTCCCGGGCTAGTCGTGTCTAAAAATAGTTCGGTTGAATGCTCTAGCATTTCCTTACGGCAATGTTAGTATGTTAGTAATGACAAGACAATACGTCAAAACAACAAAGCGACTGCTAAAACATTCTCACAAAGGAGACAGACTCAAGTACAGACTGGCGAATTTATCTGAATAATATGTAAAATTGAAGAGTCTAATAAGATATGTGGACATCAAAAGAACATCAACATTGTGCCTGTGTACTTCTTAAATATGGAGTAAATTACACCTTGGACACGACTTTAACTTTAGTACCGAAACTCCTTCTAACATTATGCTCGAACCGATCTGAATTTCACAAAAGAGTATTCTAAACTAAATTATGTTGTTACATGGCTGTAATCATTCAAATCAATAATTAGCGACCTCATCTGGTAAATGGTCGAAGAAAGGAAAATAAAAACGCGTTTTTGAATGAGATATATACCAACCCGGTGTTTTTGAAGTTTTTGATGTAGTGGTCGGCGGTAGTGTTGTTGGGATAGGTGTTTCTGAGACTTTGGCAGTGAAGACCTTTGAAGTAGTTTTGAAACTCATCGTCATTTCAACATCAGTGATATTCACATTTCCTGGAATCTTGCATTTCTTTACTTCATCGATGTTATATCCAGTTTCAGTATAAACAACAGTCCCTGAAGCATTTTTCAATTTAACTTCGTATTTCACGTAACAAGCCCCAGATTCGGCCTTCGTCCATTTCACTTCGACACAACTATCAATGATTATCTTTCCTGCTCGTAAATTCGGATTGCCATCAAGTTTCACTGAAAATAGAAAATTCACACGTCGAGAAAGCCCTATAGAGTGTTCCATTTCATTTCATTAGGCCTACTTGCTCGGTTGGATAAAATCAAAATCGAAAAACAAAAGTGACGGGCCGTCCGTTACTTCTGGATGAAAATGGCAGAGGTGGAAAAAAGTTTCTTCTTTCTGGGAACCTAAGAATCTGGCTCAAAACTTTCTGCAAGATTTAGGGGGTAGACAAATAAACTTTCTGTTTGTGCCTATATCTCTATACTTGGTTGATGTATAAAAGAGGGCAAACTTAGTTTTAAGAAGTATGATACTTCTCATTTGAATGTTCAATTTGTTTTCATTTTGATCCTTAATTTGTGTTTTTTTCTCTCGAAGTATTTCTATAGAAGGTTAAATCAAATGCAAAAAATTGTCAGGCAATCAACTTCTTAACATAATCAGTGTCATTTAACATCGGAGATCTTGACTATTGTTCCAAAACAGTCATTCTCAACATATTAGATATGCCTTTACTTAATGCATAAATGCACATAAGAAAGAAATAAACTTTAGCTAGAAATTGATTCATTCAATCAATCATCATGATGGAAAATCAAAAGGAAAATTCATGCAATAATCTCCAAACATAGTTTCAGAAGAGTCGGGGACAAAATCATTTGAATTGTATGGTGCATTTTATGGAGAAGGCTTAGCCTAATCTTTTGACAAGTGAGAAGCAATATGTGGTTGAAATAGAGTCCTAGCATGCAACAAATTAATTTAACCAAGCATATTAACTTCTGATCAATGCTGCTCACACCATGGTGTCAGAAATATTTTCTGTGAAAGTAGATTCCAGTCCCTATATTATTCTCAGTCTTAATCATGGTTTGTCTTAAAAGCTCAGCTGCTAAAAAAACTGATCTTGAGTGGCTGAGATTTCTGTGAAATGGTAAATGTAAAATATTGTGCACAAAGAATTTCTTTCCAATGGAAAGAGTCTAATTCCCACAGTCCTTTGGCAGCTCAAATTTAGCTGCTCACAGGCGAGCTGAAAATAATATTCTCTGCTAATTTGACTTAACCTTTGACATCAGATTTTTATATTCACTTTAACACTTCAAAAATTTTCTGTGAAACTTTCTGCCAACATTTTCATCTAGAAAAGTTTCTGAGAACTACGTTCCCAGGTTCCGATACTTTTTCCACCTCTGGAAAATGCTAAGGTGAAAATTCGGTAATCGATTGACTTCAGGCAGTTTAAAAGCAATAGAACATGGTCAAAAAGAGAAACATTCTAGAGATTTAAATATGAAAGTTACAAATAACTGCTTTTAGACAAACATTACTGGAGAAAGGCTGAGTCGTCCCTGTAAAAAGTACTGTAGCAATAATTACATAAGGCACTTACGTAAAACAGTGACATTGGTGTCTTTGGCAAGTGATGACCCAATACTGTTCTTCACTGAAGATTTCAATATCCTTCCACAATAACCAGCCGCTATATTTGGATGTGAAAACTTTGCTGAATAAACATATGGGTAAATTTGGCTACCAGCAACAGTTGTTCCACCATCACCAAGATGAGGCCAAAGAAAATCAGCTGATGGTGCAGGGTTTCCATCCATTTCAATGGCTATTTCTAAATTTGTATTTTCATTCACTTCAATTGTAGCTGGAGGTGATGTGACGAATTCTGGCACCCCTTATTAGGATACAAAGAAACATTGTGTTCAATTGGAATTTGTAAAGGCTCTAAGAACTGCGTCAACAGCGGCGCCATGAGAAAACTGGAGGGACATACGGGCAATACTTTGGCAAGATACCTTTTGTAATGCAATCCTATAATTTGAAACTGCCTTTACGTTACAAAAAATTAGTCATATGCGTTCACTACAGGGTTCACTTGTGCGTTCACTTGTTTTGACAATTCCCCCCCCCCTTTTCCTCAGAGCCTAGGGCTGGCACCACTACTGAACCGCGCAGTTGATTAAACAAACTTTCCCGTAGATGAAAAGAGATTGCAGCTCTGAGACAATAGATGCGACCAGAGGTGCTATACAGTGGAGGACACCTGGGGGGGGGGGCGAGGGGGGCAGTCACCCCTTGAATATTTTTAGGACAATGGTCTTTTGTTCTAAAACAACGGGGAAATGTGACGTCATCTTATCAAAATAATAGGATTGCCCCCCAATATTTTACCAACTGTCCGCCCCTGGTGCTGTAGTGACTATAGGGGGTTACCTAAAATCTATCTAGTTGGTGGCTTCAAGTATCTTCTCAAAACTAACACTAAAATTGTGACCCGTTTAGGACCAGCCAGGAACTGTGATTCTAGGGCACATGGGTTCAGACTTTTTTTAATTTTACCTGTATCTGTCAATAACTAAATTTTTATATCAATTTCCTACATGAAGAGATGCTTAACTTCTTCCAAAACCAGTTTATCGATTGTAACGTCTTACTCTTTTGTCACTGATTGGAATTTTCAATCAGCATTAACAGAAGTTAATAATCTACGACCAGAACCACTAGCCTTGTAAATTTATAGTCTTTTTCGACAGGGAAAACAGCATTTTAGATGTTTGTGACTATAATGTAAGATTAGAAGCAATAAAGAAAATATGCATTTCTTTGATGCTCAATTCCAAAAGTACCATGTTCATACGAAAATACAAAGTTTGGAGAGCTAGGTAAAAATTTATAATCTTACCATTGACTGTAATTCGGACAGCTGGTCTGAGGTCACCTTTAACTGAGGTGCTTGAACCGCCTGCGATAATATCTGTAATAACATATGATGCAAATTGGTAAGCAGTGTCATTGTACTTCAGTCCACTGATCACCAGTGTATCGTTGGATGGTATTACTTTGAGCCTTCCAGAGAATGGTGCTGGAACAGTTGGCACAAGCTGAAGAGCACCATTTGCTCCTGTCCTCTTTGCCACAGGTTGCAGTGCTGCCTGTGAAGAACTGTTAAATCCAATTATTTGTTCTCTGTAGATTATTGTTCCGGCAATATCACCACCATATTCATATCCCCATGTTAACCATATTGAAGAGCCTTTTATGGATGTCACGTGACTTGGCGATGACTTTGTTTCATTTGCATTAAGTTGTCCTGGATTAGCCGCTGATACTGTAACTGAGATATAGAAATAATAGTTGAATAAACTCAAGTTAGAAAGACGGTTGTTGTGCAGGAAAATGAAAAGATAAATTTGATGCCACAGAAAAACACATTAGCCACAACTAGATTAGTGGAGTCACTCAGTGCAAATCTTGTGCTTTTAGGGGTAGAATCACGAAACTTTCCACAAAGTTTATGCAACAAAGAAAAGATTTGGCCTTGGAGCCACCCAAAAATCACGTGCTTGCGTATTTTACGGATCAGAATGCCACTCCCTAGCAACAAAACATTATTACATCAAAATACATTTTTGTATACATTATAGAAAGGTCATGCAAAATGGAGCTAAAAATACTAAACACTACAATTGTAAAGTTGAATGATAAAATGTTATAGGGCTTCAAAGTTTCTCAAACCAGGGGGTAAAAACCATGATTTCACTACGATTTTTTGGCTAAAGAAAGACAAAAATTTGATTTTTTAAGTTTCAACCAGGGCCTTATTCAAGAAAACATACTTTATTCATGTACATCCTTGGACACAATAAACATTCAGGTATTCAAAGCTAATTACAAGCCATATTATTTTATCATTTACCCCCTTGCATTTTAGCATGATATTTTTATAATGAAGTACGAATGTTGTCAAAAATTACTTGAAACTGTATGTTATACAAGGCCAGGGGGTTCACAGCCAATCATAGAAGACAAAAATGATTTTAACAGAAAATGGAAAAATCCAGGAACGATAGACCCAATACGTAAAGGAACCCAATCCAGACTGACCCACAGATCGTTGAAGAACTAGAGAAGGGAGGACCAGGGATCACTGAGGATGCTGCACCAGATATCACTAGAATATGTACAATGATCTGGAAGAAAGTGTAATAACTACAGAACCTGCAGTACTAGCAAACAGATCTGCAATGTCCGAATTCTAGGTGAAAAAATTAGAGACCATCAAAATAAATTTTACCACTAATTATGTCCTCACTAATCACATCACTGGTGTTGTATGGGTGTGAAGCCAGGACCTTCCACACACAACTAGAAGGAATACTAAATGCCTTCAAAATGTGATTCTTCCGGCGCAATGCCTCAATTCTAAAAGAGATTAACCAGAAGGCAGGACACTTCAAACCACTTCTGAAAACAGCCAAAAGACTGAAGCTGCAATGGTTCAGGCACATGATGCACTGGTCTGCAACTTCGCCTACACCATCATGCAAGGGACCGCTGTGGGTACAAGAAGGCAAGGAAGACCTAAATTGAAGTGGCTAAGTGATGTGCAGAGGTGGACAGGAAGAAACATCATAGAATGTGAACCTTTTGAGCTTTTACTGAGTTTTTTCACTCAGAAATGATACCATGAATTAGATTAGAGGGTACTCTCACCTCAATTAGTTTATCTATTGAGAGAGCTCTTTCTTAAAAAATCCCCCTCCATACAAATATCGATTTTCTGTATTCATTTATAGCAATTTTCTGTTTTCCATCCTTTCTATTCTTGTTATATAGTCTTAGTCACTTGTTGCATATTGAATGATGTTTGTATACATCGAAATTTTAAAATAAAATGAAATGAAGATGAATGAATTTGAAAATGTTTATTTGTAGCTGAATTTTAAAATTAAAAACCTGAAACTGAACTGAGAATGCATCAGACTGGCAGAGGACCAGGAAAGATGGAAGAAAGTGATGAGCTCGTCGATGTGACCCAATCGTCTTGGGACTAGGCGAATGAACAAGACTAATTCTAAACAATTATTTGGTGGTACAAAACTTGTAAATGGCTTTGAAAAAAGCAAACATTTAGTGAACTAAAGCTTTTCAACTGACACTCTGTGTGTCAGACGAAAACGACTTTCGTCTGACTTCTAGAGTGTCAGACAAAATGCTTTAGTTTACTAAATGTTTGCTTTTTTCAAAGACTGATTCTCATTTCAATATATTTATGCTTTAAACTGTAATCCTACCAAACAAACATCACATCATCTAAGCTGGAAATAATGATAGAACTAACTGTTTACAGTAGATCTAGTTTGATAAATGTATCAAATTTGGTAATAAAGAGCTGGTTGAAGTCTCATATTACCAGAGGAAAGGTCTGTCAGTTACAATTTATATTGTTAAGCTGATTATCTTGACACTATTTTTTGTAAATTTCTGTGTTCTTTATTGCATTCTATTATTTTACTTTTACCATACTCAAGGAATCAAGGAAAAGAAATGAAATGTTTGGTCACCAATTATTTCAAACATTAAGGCAACCATGATTAGTTTAAGTATGTAATATAAATGCATTATGAATGTGACAAATGAGCCACCAGACCTGTTTTTGTGCCAATTTGAGACTTTGATGTTGATATTGAAAATGATCTGATGCATTCTAACATGCTTAGTTTTAGATTTTGCTTATCATTGGATGTTAAAAATTGTTAATTGATAACACAATCTTAAACCATAAATCATCTTTCACAAGTGAAAGAATACTACAATTATCATTATGCTATTTAAACTTTTTGATCATTTACACATCTGTAATCTTTTCTTTTCTTTCCTTGTATCAAAAGTTAGTATCGACAAGGATATTGAGTCTTTCTGTAGCAACAGTGTCAGAATTTTTTTCCAATTCCTTCCATAACCAGGACATGATATAATCCTGCTTGTTCTGGTGTACCATTATGATTGTTTAGACAATTATCAAAAGTCCAAGTTCTCTGGTGGTTTTAATTTCTTCCCTATTGCCAATCTATGCATTACAATGGAATTTTTTATTGTTACTTTTGGTAGCACTTCGGTCATTCAACATCAAATCAAAACACTTTTAAGACAATTTTGACCTCATGTCCTCAGATATTACCTAAATTAAGTGTACAAGTTAAGATCAATACTAATAGAAAATCCTGAAAATTTGATTGAATTAACTTATTCCATTATCAAGTTACAGGCGTTTAAATTTTTGGCACAACACCCAAGCGACTCCTGAAACACTAAAAATACCCAAAACTGCAGTTCTAAATTTCCTATGAAGCTTGGTGTAGCTTATTTGAAAGGGCAAAATGAGTTTTGTTCAAAAATGATCCCACTGCATTTATAAGGTAAAGTGAAGAACTTTAATCTGCCAAAAATTTTGCCCCCTTTTCCCCCTGTATACCCCAAGTACCTCTGACCCCCGAAAATTTGAAAGCATATTTGCCTTTCTCAACCTATATAGCAATTCTACTCCAAAATTCATGATTCAGCATTGCATATATTTCCAGAAATTTAAGGTCACACTCAGCTCCAGATTGTGCTAGCTTTTGGATTTCACTTAGCTGTTGGAAAGTAGGTACCTTATCACCCTGCAAAAACTATTTCCATCCCATCATCAGAAGTATCATTTCTCGAGCAATTTACGGAAGCCGAGGGTGAGCTGTACTATGGTTTGCAGCTCTTTTTTACCTTTACCCATTACTGTTTTGATGAAGCGCCAATGAAACAAAAGAAATTGAAAAGAACTAACAAAGTTTGTTGGTCTGGGCAAAAATGGAAGCAAAACTTTTTCCTGCAGGACTGCCTTTTTTACCAGCAGAATTTCAACAAGCAAACCAATTGGCCTATTCAAAAAACAATTTAGACAACTCATTTGAACAGTAATTATGTACTAGCACACCACCAAAGAAAGATATTGTAAGAATGTTGCCCAGCTTCTGCAAACAAAACTTTTAATATTTCATTGAAGAAATGCAGTCCTAGAAAGGTAAAAAACAATTGTCCAATATCTGACTCAGACATACAATCAATTGCTCACATTATTGGTTCCATGTCTATGCTGATGCATGCCTGTGCGATAACATGCATCAAACAACAAAGACTGTGTCAGTATGAAAAATGAAAGCAGTTGGCTAATAGAGAGAGGGGAGTTTTTCTGCATAATCACTGTAACAATGTATCTAAAGGATTCATTTTCAATGTCTTTACCTTGGTTTTTCTTCTTGTTTATCTGTTACTAATTTTGTTCCTTTTTATATATAGTTCCTTTTGTCATTATTACCTTTATGCATTATGTTTTATATTATTTTAAACTCTTTTAGATTTAATTTTTTTATTGTTGGAAATAGTTTCGATAGTTTAAAAGTATTTATGTATCTTAAAATGGGCACACAAATAAACTGAAAAAGCAGTTACCAAGTCATTCATGACAGTGACAACAATGGCATACAGCCAGAAACAGCATTTCATGTAGCAAATTTGAAGAGCTTTAGCGACGAGCAACCATATTTGGCCTGGCGTTGGCTTGAGATCAGCATATGCTTAGATTACAAAATCGCTAACAACCTCCCCCTCCCCCCCATATTTGTCAGGCAGATGCTCTGCTGGCGTATGGCATAATCTGTAATTTTGGTGAAACAGCATATTGGTGCAGTTTCTGTGATTGTTTGTGTATACTGCTGCGTCATCCCCTATGTATTTATAAATTCCCTTAGAAATATGGGGGAGGGGGGTTGTTTGGTGAAATGATTGCATAGGAACCTTGGCTTACACCTGGCCTTTCCCTGGCAAACCTTTGGAGCAGGGTTTACATAAAGTGCACCATGGCATTTACCTTGGGGCATCTTCCGTTTTATCTTTCGTAATCTGAGAATTGCATGATGCTGCCCTTTTAGGCCAAGAGTATAAATGGTATTTAGATATTTTGCCACACCAACCAACAACTTCTGCCCCCTCCCCTTCTTTGGAAAATCCGGGAATATCATTTCACCAAATCATAGGAGTTTACCTCTCTGATACTTGGTTGGAACAAGAATATAAACTATTAAAGACTTTGATAAGTTTTTTAGTTGAAACATGCTTAATTTCTTTCAGTTCAGTCTTTAGCTTATTAGTTCGTAATTAGATATATAAAGTTTAGAAAGATTGCCGTTTTACAGAACTCTTATTTGTTGTATTTGTTGCATTTGTTTCTACCTAGCATCTGAAGGTAGTTTTTAAGGACACTGAGAAGCTTATGCTTATCGAGCAGTGTCCTGGTCTTTCCTCTCAATGTGACCACACCTGGTGATTCCTAGTCTTGAAACATGCAAATAATATATGAAACAAGACTTTTCAAAATTATAAAAAATATACCTGATTTGAGGAAGTGTTGGTCCATGAGCACAACGCAAACAAGAAGAGTTTTCATCATCTGCATACAATGGGAGACAAACTGGCCTAAACCAAAACGGACCATTTTGTGGCGAGGTTACTGGCAGTCTCTTTAAATGTCTCGTATATCTTCCTTCTTCTTCTACCTTTTATCGCTTGCACTTCATTCGCAAAAATACTTATATTTCACAAGAATCAATCACGTTTTTAACGACAATAAACCCATAAAAACGCCGAACTCGCCCAGTTCTCAAATGCTGGCTTGAATAACAGCATCATCTTACCACACAGCCGCCGCCTTAAACCGCCAAATACTTCATGTTGCTGTTGTTGCTCCGCATTATCTTTACTTCCTTGTCACGACCAGTGATTTGAAAAAAAGACTGGATCGAGCTTCTATAATACGAAGCAACGCAGTTTGTTGGCGGCCATGTTAACTCGGCCCCATGTACACAGAAGACAAACTCAAACTCAAAATCTTTATCAGCAAAAATAAATGTTAATTACAATATACCAAGAATTAAAAATTAGAATACAAAAGTAAACATTTTCAAAAATTTAATTAATTAAGTACATCAGATTTTGTTATGCTGAAGGACACATGAGAAAAACTCGCGAGGAGCTATCGAGTCATATGTCCTAGTGACGTATTTAAACTCAAGACTATAATTTCCATTTCAGTTTGTTAGACATGACTTTACACACTTGACATCTGGACTTCTTACAACACGAACTTCCCCTGTTATTGTGTCCCTTCTCCCTCCCACTTGTAAGCCTAGCCCTAACCAAAATATCCTTAAGATTCTTACACCTCCTAAAAGCAACTACTGGTGGCACAGGAAACACTTCCTTGTGCTCTTCTGAACCAGTGAGCAAGGTATGGTGTTTCCTGGCAATGTTCCCCAAACCATTAAGTGCCGGATGGTATGTAGTCACGAGTGGAACCCTCTCAGCCCTCCCTTCGTTGGTTTTCCTATTTCCCGCATTTTCCAGAAGAGTCTCCCTATCTAGCCTACGTACCCTATCTATTTGTTGATTAACAAGGGACTCTTCATACCCCCTATCCTTAAGCCATCCAGCGAGTTTACCTATATGTTCCTTAAACTGGCGATCATCTGAGCAAATCCTACGGTACCTAAGAGCCTGACTATAGGGGATCGCCTTCTTTGTATGCCAAGGGTGACAAGACTTCTTATGTAAGAACTGATGGGTATCAGTTGGCTTACAAAATAAGTCTGTCATAAGGACTCCCCCCTCTCCTACTTTTACCGTGACATCTAAGAAACTAATAGATTCTGTAGAATGTTCACTGGTAAACTTAAGTGTGTCTTGGCTACTGTTGAGATGGTCAATGAATAACTTCAGCCTATCCTCCCCGTGGGTCCAGATAAAGAAAATATCATCGATAAATCCCATCCAGACAAAGGGCTTGTCGGCGAAGGTATCCATCAACCTCTCCTCTAACCTAGTCATAAAAAGATTGGCATAGGCCGGAGCGAACTTCGTGCCTATAGCCGTACCTAACTTCTGCTTATAAAACCTATCATTAAATTCAAAATAGTTATTCTCCAATACTAAAGAAGCGAGCCCAGCTAATGTGTCAGTAGCCACGCCTGGATTTTCCCGTCTATCCAGCGCCTCCCTTTCGGCCTCTAAACCTTCCCCGTGTGGAATGCTAGGATAGAGTCCCACAACATCAACAGTGCATAAAATTGCCCCTTCTGGTATAGTTCCTATATTTCCTATCCTAGATAAAAAATGGTTAGTATCTTTAACATAAGACCTACCTTGGCTAACCAACGGGTTGAGGTGCTAGTCTAGATATTCTGAAACATGTTCGGTTAATGTACCACAATTTGAAATGACTGGACGCCCCTTAACATTACTAAGACCCTTATGAATCTTAGGCAACAAATAAAATCTACCTAACCTAGGATTGTTTACTTCTAAATAGCCAGCCACTTCATCTAACGCCGGGTCCGCCTCCCTTATTTCTTTTAACTTATCATTTATGGTCTTACCCAGTTCTACAGAGGGATCCACCTCAACCTCTTCATATACCTGCCTATCGTCTAATTGTCGGTTAGCCTCCATTATATAGTCCCCCCGATCCCAAACTACAACCGCTGAACCCTTATCTGCTTCTTTTATAATTATGTCCTTATCACATTTAAGCTTATCGAGTGAAGAGAGTTCTGAAGGAGAGAGATTACTAAAATTCTTACCCTCAGGTGAGACAGACAGCACCTCATTCTCCACCAGCGAAAGATAGTTCTCAAGAAGAAGGTTATTCTTAGGGGGCTGCCAGTTAGACCTATTTTTAAATAACTGTTTTTCTGTCTTGTTGTTGTCCTTAAAATGCCATTTTAACCTCATTCTTCGTTTGAACTCCTCAAGGTCCGCTCTCAGTTCCGCTTTGTCTATTTCCTTTGGTGTTGGGCAAAACTTGAGGCCTTTGGATAGCAGAGAAACATCATCTTCCGACAGCTCCTTCTTCGAAAGGTTGACAACATTTGTGCTGACAAACCTATCCGTAATGCGTCCCTCTTCTGACAGCCAATTCATTTCCCCAACACCAATCCTCAATGACCCTGAATCAGTAGATAATGATCCTTCATTGACTGACGCAGGGGCCTTGGACGGCAAGTCATTCCCATCAAACATATGATGCTCATGGTGTTCGGTTGTCCTGAGAAAACCAACGTTATCCTCTCGAAACTCTTTCCCATTTCTCGCCAAAATGCTAATAAGTTTACATCGTCTTTTCTGGTAAAGTTGATTCCATTTAATCCGCAGTTGCTCCTGTACATGGGCCAACTCTTCCTTTGTCAGACTAGCGCGTACTGCACCTAGGTGGTGAAAAGCCTTCTCTTCCTCTCCGATCAACAATTCCCGATACTGTATGACAAGTAAGGCCAATAACTGCGATTGTGCAGATTCCAGAACATTGTCCCATGACTCTCGAAACTCCAACGACGGCGTTCCTACTAGTGATGGCACCTTCTTTAATAGTAATCCGACAGGAATAATACTGCACTCTTTGCAACTTTCCAAAAAATTCCGATGGTGTTCCAGTTTAATGAGATATATAGTGATACTTAATGAGTTATATATATATATATATATGATTATACTATATTATATATATATATATATATATATATACAAAGGGGGAGCAGTTGTAATAATTGATGTAAAAGACTATATAAAAGAAGCAAACAGACAGTTAGGTAATACCCAGTTCTATTCAACCATTGATGAAGATTTAACCAATAAACACAATAAAATGATAAATGATTTAATCGACAGGTATATAGGAGAGAAATTAATACAATCTAAAATTGGAGAAGCGTTAAAAACAGCTAACCCTAAAACACCTAGGTTCTACATGCTACCGAAAATACATAAACCAAACAATCCCGGTCGACCGGTGGTAAGCTCAGTAGCTTGCCATTCTAGCGAAATCTCTAAATATGTAGACTACCACTTAAATCCAGTAGCACAGCGACTAAGTTCGTACGTAAGAGACACCACAGATTTTATTAATAAATTATCGTCAGTTAAAGACCTACCACATCATACAGTACTTATTTCCATGGATGTCAGATCCCTTTACACTAATATCCCTACAAATGAAGGCCTTGATGCTGTTAAACAAAAATTAAACGAGCCTACAAATATAATGTTTTAAACAAAACATCGACATACTTTGTTCAAAATCTTGAACTTTTTGGGTCCTTTTTGCTACAAGCACAGCCTGATATCAAATGACTTTGTGACATTGTTACATATCTAAAGGAAGTTATCCAACCTTATATCTGGCGGTCAACGAGTTCACTTTGAACAAACAGTTAACAAAAGCCGAATCTTTAACAAGGTCACTGCCAAGGTAGGCCACCACTGATCTTTGTCTTTGATTACCACAGCGTTCTAATACGGAGCAACCTGAAATGGGTGCCACTGTTTTATTACAAAAATGCCATACTCATGTTTCAAGAAATGAGATCTTTCAATCACCGATACTGGCTCATGAAAAAGGCTGATCTAAAATCGACTTCTTCATTTTCATGTGATCCATTCTGTGAAAACTGTTGCTGTTGCTGAAATAACTTCCTTGTTGACATGGGACTATTTGAAAGTAGGTCGATATTTTCATTTCCTCTTCGAATTCAAGTGAAAATTATGGAAGCTGTTGTTGGTTGTTGAATTAATATCGCTTTACGAATTGAAATCGCAGAATGATGGCTGAATGAAGCATTAAAGGGATCAATCCGTATTCTATTTCAGAAAAATTACTTGCCTTGGTTTCTGATTTCAAACAGGTAGATAGGCCTACTCGTAACGATTTCCATATTTAACCCCGTTCCCTATATGACCCCAAGAGCTTCCAACATGATTGCATTGACGCTATAGAAGACGGTAACAGTGGTGGAAATTATGGGGTTTTGGGGGCTCGGACCCCCCCCCCCCCCTAATAAGCAATGTCGTCAGAAATTTTGGGCTTTTGTCGTAAAATTGTCAACCGTTTAACGTGTCCAAATTACTGAAACCATTCTGAAAAGAAACTTTCAGCAAATCTAAGGGGCGTAATTGTCAAATTTTCTGTTTGCTTCGCTTGCAGATGATCTGCATTTTCCCTTTTTACCCCAGAGACCTCTTTAAGCTTTCTCTGCCCTTTTTGCAAAATTTGAACATAGTACAGCTGATAAAATATTAGCCAGTACTAAATAATCAATCAAACAATATAGGACCAAAATCAAAACTGCTTATGAATTGTATCCTTAATTTTATTTCCGTAAAGTTTAGCCGAAATTTCCATAGGATTCTTCCGAATAAAAGTCTTTCGATATTTTCAAACGTATTTCCCACAGAAGAAAACAAGATAAAATCCATCGAATGAACGTACGACTTGTCAAAGTGTAATCGGTCTACCTCTTGTATCATCAATTTAGACAGGGAATTTTGTAGAAAAAACTAGCAACCTGCCTAACCTCAAATTTTATTTCACATTCTTACTAAATCGACCATGGAGATTCCAAATCCAAGATTGGCAAAATAAATTATCACCGGAAGTTACTGTTTTTGATGACGTCATCAAAAAAATGATAAAAATTCTTTAAAAATCAGCCAAGATCAAATTCAACTTTTCTTGCATTTTTGCACTAAATTAACTATGCAAATTAACTATTAACTATGCAGTTGATGACGTCAAATCTGAGATGAAATGAAAAATATCTTGAGCGGAAGTCAAATTTTTTGATGACGTCTTCAACTTGGAGAAATTCACTTTGA